GTCAAATTGAACACCTACAGGATATTCATGAAAAGGATATTGACATGTTAGTTGACAGTATTTGAATGGAGACGACTTCAACGTGAGATCACTACTTGGAGAAGTGAAGAAGAAAGTGCGAAAATTGGTAATGCCAAAACAAGTGTTGCTGCATTCAAAACATCTTCGGCATCTACAGTCATATCCTTGCCCAACTCTTTGAGTAATTTCTTTGGGACACGAGATGGACAAGGGAGCATAGTCGTCTCTATTGAATCCTTAAAGAGAAAGTACAAGGCTCTATGGTATGAGAATCCTGTCAATCCAACTCAAATATTCTCCAACTCATTTATTCTACAAATGGCAGAACAACGGATGCAATTTGAGAAGACCCTCTGTAGCTGTGAATTATGGTGCAGAAAACAAAGGTGAACACGAATTTCTTTTTTGCTGGCATTGGCAAAAACACCTGTGATTTCAACGTGGAATCAATACTACAAGTCGCAAAGTATTATGGGAAAGTGTGAAATATTAGAAAGGCAACACCCTGCAGTAGCATCATTTTTGGAAAACAGAGTCAGAGAGAAATCATCCAATGTGCCATCAAAAGCCATGTATGAAAATATCTGCCAGTATGTTGCAAAACTTGAAGAGGTCAGCACCTTTTCAACCAATACCCTACAGAAGTGTGATACTGAGATGGCTAAATGCAGCCCTGCTGGAGTACCCAAAAAAGGTACAGTAGTTTCCACTTTTCAGAAGAGATGATAGTATTTTTATAGTAGAAAATAGACCTATATTAACACACAAATTGGAAATGTTAGCCATATAGGTTAATACATTTATACATTAATCTCGAATCAGGACTTGGGGTGGGGAGAAAAATTTAAAATTGGCTTCTGAACTTTAATAGTTGCTTTATATGCACTTTAATATAGGTTACAAGGATGAGTTGGATTTCCTATCAAAGAATATAAGACCTCGACTTATTGAGATCGACACATCCATCAAAGAAAAGGCACAACAGGCTCGTGGGTGAGTGAATGGATGCAGCCAGAGAGAAGCATGGGTATTCAATTGCGTACAAAAGTGCAAAGTGGAAAAGAAAAAGTGGAAAATCAAGCATGTCCGCACGTGCAAGTCAAGCCAAGGATGGTGATTGTAAAATAACTACACTGATTAATGAAATCAGTGATTCAGAATCAATGTCAGAGGAGCAAGATTGAAAAACTGTTTGATATATACATTTGTTAATTGTTTTGTTTGTATTCTTGATTCCTATATTAATATATAAACAACTATATACATGTACATATATTTATCTACTATTGTTGTTGCTATTTTAAAGTTTTTGTTGGTATATAAAATGAAAAATTATGTCTATTGATAATAACAGAGTATATATATTTAATATAAAAAATATTATATTCGAGCTATTCTGATATTCTCACAAAAACGTTTTAATTCTAGTAGCCAAATTTTAAAATTTCAAAATTTTACACCCCATTCTGCTCGCACGTACGCTTTATTTCTTTGCACATGATGGGGGATCCATGCATGAGTTCCTGAAAATTGTGCATGTGTCATGTGACAATATACCACTAGAGATTTGAGGAAATTTTAAAAATATTACAGGTAAACTGCGTGAAGCGTTCCTCTTTTGAGTTTCTAATTTGATTGCAATTTTCCTCATTACTTTTGCAATTTAAAAAACTCCCTTGCAAATCCCTTGAGGAAATTTGCAATGTTGCTAAAAGCCAATAAAATTTTCCTCATTTCCTGTTAGAAGTTCTTAACTTCCTGTTACAAGTTCCTAACTTCCTGTTCTGTTCTGGGTGTTGCAATTGGCTAACAAAAATAATCGACCAATAACAACGCACAGAACAGAACAAGTTAGGAAACTAAAACAGGAAGTTAGGAAAATTTAAAATGAAGTTTGGAATATTGCAACAGCCGATAGGAACATTGCAAATTCCCTTAAGGGATTTGCAAAGAGTTTTTCAAATTTGCAAAGCTAATGAGGAAAATTCCAAATGCGTTACGAAGTCAAAAGAGGAACGCTTCACGTAGTTTACCTGTAAAAGCCAAAAAGCCAGCATCTTCTCTCTGACGCCCACACTCTAGATTTCAGCGGTAATCTTTGCCAAAGCCAGGGATATAGATTCATGTCTCGCTAATAGGGTTAGCGGTTAGGGTGGGGATTAAGGTTAGCATTATAAATAGCGAGACATGAATCTATAACCAAAGCCAGGTTTGCAACCACGTCTAGCGCATTTCACATATTTTTATATGACTCTTCTATTATTTAAAGTCTTTTATTAAAGTCTTTCAAATCGTTATAAAAATAATATTTAATTAAAAGGTTATATATTATGGATTCAGGTTAATTTCTTCAAAAGGCTCTGCGGAGGAGAGACTTCTGACCGCAATCACGAGGGTGGAAACTTGGATGGTGTGCTCGATAATTTTTTCGTGCGCATTTGTCCTGCTCGATATTTTTTCGTAACAATAAGTGCTTGCTCGATATTTTTTGGGGGATTTACACAACCCCCCCATCAAATATCTAATGGTCCGGCCCTAAAGTCAACTTATTTTGTTGCTTTCTCTTTGATTATATACGCAGCATCACAGATGAGGTAGGTAACCTCATCTGTGGCAGCATTGAGTTTGTTTACTCCTGTCAGTAATTACAATGTATATAATTATTCTATATACGTAATTATATGCATAAAATATCATAATTGAACACCCCAAATACTGGAGATTTTGAGGGCATGTGACCGGCCGATGCCAGGGCCATTTTCGCTGATCGGAAGCAAAATGCCCTGGGTACGAGGTTGAGGATTGTAAAATTTGCTTTCACAAAAGGTGAAAATTTTACAATCCTGACTTTTTAATAATATTTACTATTTAACTTTGAAAACCTAAATAAAATATTACGCATTTTGCAGCTAGCATATGAATTATTCTCGCAGGCGTTAAAAATATTTGCATGATGTGACTTTCGCTTTGTTTTCAAGTTCGCTTACTTTAAAAAAAGTAACAATGCCTGCGCTGCAATGAATTACGCAACTCACACTCCACCTTTGGATGTATCAGTAAAACAGTGCCATTACTGTACGTACTAACTATACACCGAGTGCTGATTGCTGAACCATATATTAATATGGTTCAGCACAGGCACAGATACCAGAAGGGCCACTCAGCGTTGCAACGTGTTACCATTTTTCTATGCAAAAATATGCAGTTGACTGGCCAGAAGGCGGGGCCTTAAGCCAATACAGCGCGTTTATTGGCCAGAAAATGTAATCGACTGGCTAGGAAGATGGCGGCCAGGGTGACAGAAATTTCAAAGCTTCCGACGTAAGTGGCCCTTCTGTGTGCCTTATTCTGTGGCACTTCAGCACTCAGTTAATACGTACAACAAGCACATTATTTCAAAATTAAAATATTTCTACCGAAACGTACATATATCTCCTAGCACCAACCGTATAATTTAATTGGTCAAAAGACAAAAAAATTAATGTATACAGCTATTTCAATTATTAAAGGTTGTCCGCTTTGTTCGGGGACACTGCATGAACCTTAATTGAAATAGCTGTATGCATTTATCAGTCAATTTAGGCAATAGAAATTTAATTTCAATAGCAAAAATTCAACAATATTTTTACAGCATATATCTTTATTCAATATAAGAAGCATATGCAATCATTAAATAAAAATTAACAACTATATTTCATTTGTTTTTACAGAAAGGTTACTTTATTTATAAACAATAATTTATATTTATTAATGTCAGTTAAAATGTTCAACAAAGCAATATTGTCGTGCAGTACAGCAGTACATGCAGGTATATACTACAAATTGCCATTTGGGATCAATATACAAACCTGATGCAGGTCATGTAAAACATAGAAACTTGAAAACCATCGCCTCTTATATAGGATTTGATACTATAAACGGTGATCACTTTAAGCCCAATTTCAATTGGCAATTGCATGGAGGTTAGTTTTCTTGACGAAGATTTCTAATTGTGAATTTGAAAAACGTTAGTCATTATTTTGACTGTTTTCTGAACTTTGTTGTAATCTAGAAGTGGCGGCATCCTTGTGTTTATTCTGAATGTGACTTTGAAACATGGTTTCAAATTTAAGGTTTAATATATAATGTATGTGGTGTCTATATAACTAACTACTTGTGCTTGTCCGAACAGTGATGCACGCGATCAGGATAAATCAATCACATGAAAATATTTTATGTAATCATAAGCTGCATGCAGTAGCTTAAAACGCGATGTTGTAAAAAATGATACCATGTATAAGGTAATCTTCTTGAACACTGATTTTTTCGAAAGATGATCTTTCCTTATACTCTTCTTACTAAATTAAAGATCAACATAATGTGATTGTGTATCCGTAATTCTACTAAACGATCAGGAGTGGTCACCTACCACGCAGGTTGAAACAAGAAAACAATGACTTGCTTTGTTGACCTCCCTGACCTGAATCGCTCATCACATAACAAAAGTGCTATTGTTTATGAATCATACAAAATAGACAATAATACGTCACTTTTTACTCTCCCTACATAAACATTTCGATAGAATTTCCTCTGGAGTGGCCGTTCCCTGTTTAACGCTTTCCTGAAGAGTTTTGTCACTTTTTACGAGAAAAGCTATAGATCGCACACTTCGCTTGTAACTGTTGTCAACTCTCCGTCGGCATTCCTGGAATAATCTCTTCTCAAGAGCTTCCGTCCAAGGATCAGGCAACTGTGGGAAAATAATGAATGGGAAAAAATTGAAGTAAAACATTTTGCAGTATAGCTGCGTTGTGCGTCATGCTTCCTTGCTTCGTGTACAATATGGTTAGGGTTTAGGGACCGGTCATTATTTATGGTGGGGGGTGGCACCGAAGAGAAAAGATTTTCGTGGCAAAAATTTTGCTGACCCAACCATTAAAAAGTAAAAAAATTGATTACCCAACCTTAAATATCAATTAAAAAATAAATACCCACCCCTGGCCAAAACTTTACAAAAAGATATCATTCAGTTGTCACACGTGTCTTTTACCACTTCTATGACATGAGTTTGATAACGGATTGGGAAATTTTCTGCAGTATAAAGTTTTATGTTGTCTGCACATGTTCTTTCTTTGGAGACATGCATCAAGATAGTGACTCTGATTGATTCACATATTGTATTGACATATGACTGTTGACATTGCTTTTTAGTCTCCAATATTTTAGTGAGTCATGCTTTTGAAATGACAATAAATTTTTATTACCCAACCCTTGAGTTTTTTGTTTTTCATTAACCCAACCTTTTACTCACTCAAAATTTTGTTTACCCAACCCTTTTCTCTTCGGTGCCACCCCCCGCCATAAATAATGACCGGTCCCTTAATGGTTGTGATTCGCGTCAAGATCAAAAGAGAAATATTTCCGTGCGCGAAACACGAGAATATTACCCGAAATTTAACCTATTCAATTATTCTACAAAAATTGCTGGAAACCCTTTTTCGCATTCAATCACTTGTTTGGATAAAATGGCAAACCATTTTCAAATATCTGTGATGACCACGCATAAAATGCGTACCGTAATAAATGCGTACCCGGTGCATTTAATAGTAGTTTGCTTAGTTTGCTTGATATAATTAAAAGTACAACTTATTTCAAAAGTGAATATTAATATTGAACATATACTGTCAGGGTCACCGAAAGGTTGGATGGGAACAGGGGCAAAACATTCCCGGCATGGCCGGCCCTATGACGTCATAATTGTAAAATAGGAAAGGGGGTGTTTTACTGCACATACGTACAGTATGATAAAATACACTTTATTACTGATGCAGCTACAGTAGGATTTATATTCTCGGTTTATCAATCCTGTATCAATAAAACGTAAGTGACTTCGTTACCTTGGGGGCCCTAAAAAATCTTAGCTGGAGGCCCAGGGAAAATGCCCCAACACCCTCTTGGCAGCACTGTATATAGTACAAACAACCATATCAATTCAGTTTTACTATATGTTTTAGATTTTTTAGTCTTATTCTGAATAATTTATTCTCATTAGTGCAGATACATAATTAAATGTTTGCCTCTGGTCTAGCAAATAAATCATTCTACTGTAGATCCATCAATCTATCTGCTACACTAAAATATAACAAAAATAAAGTTTCAGTATATAAAAAGGATGAATGAGAAACTTACATTGATATTTAAACCATCACAAATCAATTTCCTTGCTTTGCACCTTAACATTTCAGTCTTTGCATCACATCGCACATCAATTCTCTCCTTCGGAGTATTTTCCTCTACAACTAAGTTTTTCCACTTTCTTACAATAAGTCTTGATAATTCCTTAACAGATTGATGTTCAGATTTCCGAAGTTTATTAACAGATCGACCAATTTTTGTGTCTCTTAAAACCTTCGTTGAAGGATTCATAGATTTTAGTTTTTCTAAAATTTCCAACAGTTTATCTTCACTTGTGTCATTCTTATGGGCTTCTAATGATGACTTCAAATGTAGTATGTCTTCTATAATAACTACTCTCTAGGATAAAATGATGAATATTAATTATTAATTTATTTGGTTTATTGATATCACAGCTACATAGTGCATTTTGTCATCATCATACGCAACACCATTTATTTATTAGTACATGGCAGAGCCGAGTACTTTAATTTCAAATACTGCTGCAAAAATGTATAATGGTGCAATGTACAAAATAAATGACACTACCAGACTGTTTATGGCCAAAATGTTTATATACTGATTTATTACTAATTTGCACATGACCATACAGACTACACTGTGCAAAGGCCTTCCATTTTTAACAGGGAATACATGGGGTACAGATAAATTATTTAACTTGAAATTATGGCAACCGAAAAAGAGTCCCAAAAAAACACAAAAGACTGGACTTCGAATATTCCCTGATATTCACCTCGCCTTTGGCAAATAATTGTTAATTATTGATTTTTTGTGTCTAATAAGATATAAAATATCTACGGTATCATTACATTGTTTTGTAGCTAGTTATTTTAATGTTCTCAATTAATATTTAATTAAAATTGATGGCATTTATTTTATGGCATTTATTGCAATATTATCAAATATTGGTAAAATTGTCATCCCGCCCGGTATTTATTATCCACACAGGGGGTTGAGGACGCTGGAAAATCCAGGGGAGGGTATAAAAAAGGCCTTGGGAAATCCAGATGGAGGGGTGAAAAATACAGCAGAAATCCAGGGGTGGTGTGATTAAAGCCATTTTCCAGGGGTATCTGGCAATGAATTCCTCAGAGGGAATTCCAGGGAAGGCCGAAGGGGGTATATAAACTGAATTCCAGGGGGTCACAATTTAGCTGGTAAAAAGATGTCCTCAACCCCCCTCTATGGAAAATAAATGCAATCTGCCAATGTCACCCTGAAGCCTGCGAGGTAGTTAAACCGGCATTATCTGCCAACATTGCAGTTTGGCCATCTCTACCAACATTGCAGTTTGGCCATCTCTACAGTATATTTTTACGGCATAAATTAATCCATTTAATGCACTAGTCAATTGAAACCCTGGCCCCCCAACCCCCGGGATAGGGTGGGGAAATTAACATTTTGACAATGTTAAAGTTTGGTAATTTCCCCTCTACCGGGGAAATATTGACTGTTAAAGTTACCGCCCCTATGGCCCCGGCACTTTGCAAATTTTTATGACTTGGGAAATCGTTGAGGTATAAAATGTTCACAACATGTGAAGGCAATTCTTGATCTTAAACTTTGATCTGCATCAAAAGATACTGAATAATCTACGTTTCGAGTATCTTGTAGTCATCATCAGGAATATATAAAAAGTGAAAATATATTCCTTTTTTTTAAAGGTGATCTACAGTCCGTATGTAAACAAAGCCTTTGTTTACATTTTTGTGTCCAAAATATTGAGCTTTATTCGACAACTATTTATATTTTCAAGCTTCTAGAGTATAATAAATGATCAAGAAACAACAATCAGGCTTTTCAAGAACTCAAAACATAGTTAAACTGTTTGTATCATAAAAAGTGGGCTCATTTGTGCACATGCGCAGATCGGACTGTAGATCACCTTTAAGAAAAACTATGAGGAAACCATTCTCTGATTTTGAAGATTCCGCCATGTTGCCACGAGGATAAACTCGTTCCAGTCCACTTTCATATCAGCCGCACGTTAAAGTCCTGGCTAATAAATTGACTTGTTATTTACCCTGTACCCCGGGGGAAATGGTGCATTAAGACCGCGTTAATCCATGGCCATTCCCCTGTTAATTCCCCGCCTTGTCCCGGAGGTCCGGGGTTTCAATTGACTAGTGCATAATATTCCCTGTGGTCTGATGACTCTACCATGCTGTCCATGAAAAAACAAAGGCCTACACAATGGCTTGAAAAATTAATTTTTCTACATATTAACTTTTTTGCTAATGATAACTTTATGACTAATAATTTTATCATTTTTATCTATCATTTCGTACTCACTGGAAGTGATTTGATGGTAATTTGCTTTAATTTTGATTCCTTAGATTTTCTTGGTCTTCTATCTTGCGGACTTCTAGATCTACGTACAATAAACTTATCCATATCCTGGATAAACCTATTATAAATTTCTTAAGGTAAAGTAAATTAAAACAACGCAACACAATTTCTTCTATTCTGTATTCAATCTCACAGTAAAAGTTGTAAAACACTTTTCAATTAGTATTACGTGGAGTAACAAGCAGAAATCTTGTCAGCGCAGGTCTATAAATTGCGGGCGCACTTAGGTCGTTACCAGGTTGCGTCTGGTTTCACCCAACATGCGAACGCGAACGGGCATACTGTGGGCTGCTGTGGGTACTATATTGGCGTCGTTTTGGATTTAATAGATTTACTGTTTGTCAAAAAATATTGAGAAAATGTGCCGAAATTTAGGGAATAATGCTACCTCCTCCGCAGGCCTTTCGATGCGGGCGGGAATAATTTGCGGGCGTGAAATTTGAGATCAGGGAAGATAATGCCTCGTTTCTCCGATGTTAAGATTAATAGCTTTGCCTATATTAAATAGCTGGTTTCCGCTTTCAGTCGGTTTCTTTGTTCGTTTGGGGGTTTTCTAGATCGTATTCTCTTGTTGTGATATTTGGTGATCGCTGTTCTTATGTTGTTCATAGACTTCATACAACTGTGAATTGCGGTCAGTGAACTGAATTTAATGCAGATTGCTGAACTTTGGGAAGTCCTTGTCAATCAGTTGGAGGTTTATAGATTTTGCCAACATTTGTTCGGTTTTTGCTATAAAAAGGTGGATTGAATCATATAACGTTCCCTCGAACGTTCCTGTGTCGTTTTTCGCGGGTTCGGTTGGATAGAACCAGCGCCCTGTTAGAACTGATAATAGTCGCACTACTCTCTTCTCTTCGTAATATGTTGGCGGGGTCGGAATGCCGGCAATTCGCCAACCTAGGTCAAGTCCCAATGCCGTTTTGTGTTCAAAACTCTAAGGTTTCGCATCACTAGTTCCAAACATAACCGGGAAAGCACGTTTCGACCCTGCACTAGCTTGTCTTGGAACTACATGCTCGCATATAAATGTTCAGTTTTTGTTCCTTTGTATGAATTAATCAGTCAACCAACATTCACACTGACACTGTTTCAACAGACTTTTCGCGCAAACACATGTATAATTCTAAAATGAATAATCTGTTGATTATTTCGTCTAGCTAGGAACAGTGTGAATGTTAGTTGAATTTGGTAATTTCTCATGCATAATGTGGTGATTTTTGGTTTCGGAATGTAAAAATGTAATTTACTTACTGATGAATGTAGTGAACCGTATCAATGAATAGGCATTCACCCAGGCCTTGGCAATATCACACATAAACGCACCCGGGTTTTGCCTTCACAATCCGTCATGCACATACCGCCCAACACAATCACTGATCAACACTGACATACACATTCATTACTCCCAATTTCATACTTGTTTGTTTCTCCTTACAATTTGTATGCTTATATAACCTGTGCTTTTTTGATAATTGTATATCTTCAACTTAATTGTGTATCCCCAGACACCATGTGAGTATCATTACAACTTGTGTTTCACTAGCATCATCATTATTGTCACCATTCTAATTTTATTAGTCAATCACTATACGAATAAAAAGTTTCCTTTCACACCACTATATTGCTTCTTTTTTTTTTTAATTGCTTAACTATCATATATCAAGATCGATGGTGAGAACAACAGAACCAGGGCCGTAGCTAGCATGTATAGTTGGGGGGGGGGGGGGGGGGTAGGCCAAAAATTTCCGAATTACGAAATAAAATTTCCGAATATTTCATGGCATACGAAGCCACGAAGGTGTTTGCTATCCGGAAAATGAAGATGTAATTTACAAACAAAAATACACATAGTTTACGCAAAGACGTATTACAGAAGCATGCAGTGCCGTAGGAAGTTCTCTTTTATTGGGGGCTGGGAACGAGGGCCGAAGGCCTGAGAAAATTTTTAAATTTAGACTCTCTGAAATGCCATTTCCTGGACTTTGGGGAAGTTTTGACAGAATTCTGATTGTCAGAAAACAGAGTTTTATTATGATATTTGTGATGTTACTCTGAGTATGCATCCACAGCGGGCAAGCTGAAAAGTTTGCTTGGCCCGACGGTGGGAGTCAAACCCGCGACCTTTGGGATACTATTTCAATGCTCTGCCAACTGAGCTACATGCATGTCAATTAAGTCGGTTCGAGTTGTTAATAGAGTTTTAGTATGTCGAAATTTACAATTTGCTTACAATTTAGTATACTACTAAATGGGCGAAGGCGTATTTAAGTAACTTATATTGCAGGGAAGAGTATGGGTAATATGATTCTTTGCGGTTTGTCATGGATAATGTAGCCGCTTAAAATTAACCCTCAACTTTCCCCTTATGAGTAAAATTTTGATCTAGACAAGCCTGGAGAAAAATTTCATCACAGCTTGAAAGAGCATCACAAAATTAGTAACATTCCGAAGTTTCGTTGCGAAGTGTTGTAAAATGCGGATAATATAGCCTTGCGAAGTTTGCCGTTTTTCAGTCATTTTGCATTACAAATTGGCAATTAGTTTAATTTGATCATCTGATTATCAATTTCCCGTTTGTAATGCAAAATAAATGACTGAAAAAACGGCAAACTTCGCAAGGCTATATTATCCGCATTTTACAACATTTCGCAACGAAACTTCGGAATATTACTAATTTTTTGATGCTCTTTCAAGCTGCATGTGATGAAATTTTTGTCCAGACTTGTCTAGATCAAAATTTCACTCAGAAAGGGAAAGGTCTATTGTAGAGGTGTGCAAATCCGATCCGAAACGGATTCGTTCGGATTTCGGAACCAAAATATTCTGCTACGACTGCTACGGCCCTGAGAAGTAATAAACCGAAAAACATTTACCGATTTATGATTTGTTTTACGTAAATCAGTTTATACCAATGGTTTATACTGACAATACCATTTTATAAAATTTTCTCTGTTTAAACAACTAAAATTTTGTTATACTATTATTGCCGTAATTTTCCAAATGGCCAACCCGATTTTCCGAATATGTTAATTCTACAAAAGTTGGGGGGGACCCCCCCCCCAATATCCCCTTCGCTACGGCCCTGAACAGAACATAAGTCCCTTATTAAGTCCCATGCACCAAAACATTACGGAGTAAACACTATCGAGGAGTAAATTCAAATTAAGATGATCGATCTACTAATTTATAGAAAATTAATCGAGAAAAAAGCGGATTTTTAAATCAAGAAATCTTCACCTTACAAATAATTTATTACGCATCGAGCATGCCAATACTAGACCGATTTACGAGCAACAGTTTGTTTGCAGTGAACGACACTTACTACAGTGTTTTCCAAGTTCCAGGCCTTTCTATATCGAATATCGGGATCAGTTTATTTTTGTAGTGGTTACTCATATAGTTTAGTGCATGTTTAAGGATAGAAAGAGAAGAGGACAATTTGACATCACAAGGCAGTAATTAGCAGTTCCATTCAATACACAATTCAACTTAAAGAGTTAAAGTTCTCCCAATAAAATGTCCCAACAGGTCAGGGCCATTTTATTTATTTTTATTTTATTTATATAACTTCGCCATTTGATAACTAATTTACGCAAAACGGTAGAATATATATAATACAAGACATTACAGTAGAGTATATAGTTCAGTCCAGTAAAATACATACAGTACAATGCAATAATATTGTAAGCAACAGATGGCTGGGACACCACAACAGTTAAAACCAATTACTGTGGGCCCTTCTAACATATAATAACTATAGAAACAACAATTTACAACACTGTTCAAACTACGACAAGAGTTACAGATTAAATTAAACACACAGATTTCCATGTTTTTGGATCCTCTGCATCATAACAACTATGCAGGGCTTCCAAATAGTAGTTCCACAGCAATCTCTTAAATGTACTTAACAACATATTTGGCTGTCTTAAGTTTGTTGGAAGGCAGTTCCAAACTCTTGTGGTTCTGGTAAAATAAGATTTTTGGAAGGTGGTAGTCCTGCATTTTTGTGGACGGAACAACAGCTCGGTGGTACATTTCACAGCTTCCAGGATCTGAATACCCATAAAACTGACCAGAAACAGAATTGTTTAAGGGATTGTTTAAGGTCGTACTAAATAATGCTGCACGGTTTATAAATAACCCACAGATTCAGTGTCGTAGCCAGAACGATAATTGGGGGGGGGGGGGGGGGGGGGGAAGGCAAATATTCATATATTCGTGTTCACATATACATAAAAACAATTGATTTCAAAAGAAATTAATAAAGCAGAACACGAATATATGAATATTTGCCCCTCCCCCAATTATCGTTCTGGCTACGGCACTGCACAGATTATTTATATATAATCTGTGGATTATTTAGTATGACAACAAACAATCTCCACATTGTTTATAAATAATCAATGGATTGTTTATTTATGAACACAAAGATTGTTTGCAAATAATGGATTATATATCTAAATAATGAAAAATTTGATATATTTTGGCTGTAAAGATTTTTTTACATTTATAGCGCCCCATAGAGTATCCCGTAAAATAAATTTATAATTATACCTATATGGCGTTATGGTCAGAAGATATGTTTGAGATTTGAGTGTTTATACAGACGGTTGGGAGCTGTCTAATAATAGCCGGTGGGATTAGAGTGACTGTCAATGTAAGTAGGTTCGTTGTTAGGTTTTCTATATATGGTTAGTAGTATATTCGTCTGCTTGGTGATTCACTTGCGCTACAATCTTCAAGTAAAACTGTAATCGAATAGTTTATGTAAATCCTTCCTTTCTCTATCTGCAATGCGTCCGCACAGTATACCCTTGGCAAGCACGATGAGTCCGTCATCTCGCCTATATACCGACAGCGAGCCCACCCCGGGTCCTATTATAGCTCAGTGTTTATAGCATTCCATATGTAAATATATAGCTCAGGAACTGTCCATTCTCATGTACATCAAAGGGAGAGAGAGAGAGAGAGAGAGAGAGAGAGAGAGAGAGAGAGAGAGAGAGAGAGAGAGAGAGAGATGATATCACCATACACGGACAGTCGAGTGTATACAAGTTAGGTTCTCTCATTATATCAGATCTGATTGTGGACGGTACTGAGCCAACACTATTCAATGTGGAAGAGGCATCATCTAATTGTGTCTGACTTATCTGTATCCTGTTGTCGAAGTGTTCAATTTCTTTGATCGAATCAGTGGTGTAGTCCTGAAATGTTAACAAGGGGGGCTCTCCAAAAGTGTCACGAATTGGCGGGGGGAGGGCGGAGGTACAATATGATATTTTGGAAATTCTAAATTTTAATTTTGTTGGGGTTTACTCTAGTAATTGCGGGACAAACATTCAAAATTATTCTCATTAAAAACAATTGCCGTTAGTAATATAAAATATTCTGAGCGTCTCAAAAGGGTATGGAATTCAGGGCTTCTGTACTTGAATTGAAGATGTAAAGCCGGTGGAGTCAAGAGAAAACAACATTCAGTGGTATGATTGGTTAGAAAAAAATTGCCGTTAAAAAATAGGACGCGGTGAACTTCCCTTCCTCCAAGCAATTTCGCCCAGTGAGAAAGCAGGGTTCAGAAAATATGAAAATTTCTGGCTGGGACTTTGATTCCTGGTCAAAATTTTCCATAATTGCTAACAGCCTATAATATTTATTAACTGTAACATATTTTGAAATATCTTCGGGAAAGCTCTTTAATAGCTGCTGTATAGCCTCTATATAAAATCAACAAAACTGAAAACACTCAAGTGAAAATGCTCTGGACAGAGTTTAAATCAGAGAAAACAGTATCGGTACTTCAACAGCCAATTTGCTATGAAATGATGACTGAAAATGAAGTGCAATTCTAAGAACATTCTCGTTTGTTGTTAAGATTATGCAATGACAAATGTGCAAGCCCCCTCAAGTCAACATGAAATTTTAACAAGGGAGGCTCAGCCCCCCACTACACCACTGGGTCGAATCTCGACGCTTGGCCTTCATGGGGCTCACCTTTTTCAGCATTGTTTTAAGTTTGTCTAGCTATAAGTGTTCATTAATAATGTCTCTTTTGATGAAATTATCAAACAGACTTATTCCGTCTTTCATCCCCGCTCGGCGCTCGCAGACTTTCAGGAACATCACATGAGCACCAAACTTCGAATCTCTTGTTCACGTTGGCGGGAACTGATCTTACTCAACAATATTCGAAAACGAGCCGCCATCGTTGGATAGTTAATTGCAACTTAATTCGGTCTGACGGTCTCTCGAGTTGAAATGAAAATGTTTTTGCTGCAAGAAAATAATTTATTACAGTACATACGCAAAAAATCAACAGTACCACCTGCTTTTTCAATAGCAGGTGGTATATCAATGGGTATATTACCCACTGATATATATGTACTATATAATAGATTATTTACTTGCAGCAGAATTGGTGAGGGACCAGAAACTATCCCGTCATATCTGGATGCCTGGGAAGAATATTGTGTCTGAAAAATCGATTTTGCTCAAATTTTGCCCAGATATACCTTATTATATCGGAAAATGCACCATATATTTTTTTAGGTCAAATTCTTTTTTAACTTTGAGAAAATGCCGTTTTAACACGACCACCCTAAATTGCCATTTTTTGGGGGAAAATATGCGCTGATTTTACAGATAAATTTATCTATCTATCTAAAACCCTAAAAATCTTGTTTTCGGTTATTCAAAGGACTGTGTACATGACTTACAGGAAATCTGAGTTACTTCTAGGAATAGAAATAATCGTAGTTTTGGAGCACACTATCTTACTTCATTTACGATACCCTCTTAACAAAATCGATTTTCACCATGCGATAAAGCTCCAAATCGATCATGCTTCTACTAGTTGGCTCTTTAATAAACAAGCTTTCAATTGACGTAAATACTTCTTTTGGCAAATGAATACGCGGTAAACGACAGCGCGTTGAAATCTTCCGTTTTTGACGTCTTGCAAGTCAAACGCTGTTAATTTATACACCGTCGAAGTAAACAATTTAATCAAGTATTCTAAGTATTTTACCTTTTGAGAAAAAACATATTCTTGAATGGGGACTTTTCGCTTTGCTAAGGGACCGGTCATTATTTATGGCGGGGGGTGGCACCGAAGAGAAAAGGGTTGGGTAAACAAAATTTTGAGTAAGTAAAAGGTTGGGTAAATGGAAAACAAAACAACTCAAGGGTTGGGTAATGTCATTTCAAAAACATGACTCACTGTCAAAATATTGTTGATTGAAAAGCAATTTCAACAGTCATTTGTCAATACAATATGTGAATCAATCACAGTCACTATCTTGATCATTTTGACAAAACAAATGGTGTTTCCAAAGAAATTACATGTGCAGACAACATGAAATTTTAGACTGCAGAAAATTTCACAAGCCGTTATCAAACTCATGTCACAGAAGTGGTAAAGGACATGTGTGACAACTGAATGGTATCTTTTTGTAACGTTTTTGGCCAGGGGTGGGTAATTATTTTTTAATTGATATTTGTGGTTGGGTAATCAAATTTTTGTCTTTTTAATAGTTGGGTCAGCAAAATTTTTGCCACGAAAAACATTTCTCTTCGGTGCCACCCCCCACCATAAATAATGACCGGTCCCTAAGTTTAAAAGTGGTCCAGAAATCCCGGTATATTTGTAATAAAAATATCAAACATCCAGTATTTTGAGACATTGTTGACGGTTGCATGATAACTTCAGATCATTATTCAACGTGATCTACGACCCGGCCGTTTGACTTTAGCGCTAACATATACAAATCGATGAGCTATTTAAGGATTATATTTGCTACTAAATTCCCCCAAAGAATTGGAACTACAACTGCTGTTTTCAGAGGTTTTGATCCATTTTGTCCATATTAATGTACCATTTTATTTATCGACTGATGTTTACAAATACGTAAGTTAATTATTAAGCAGCTGTTAGCGCAACCTCGTTCCCAGGCTCTTTGCTCTTGGGAACGAGGTTGCTGTTAGCGTGCGTGTACATGTGAAATGAACGTTTATAATGTTTATCCATATAAGGAGTTTTTATTTTTAGTTTACCAGCCCTAATATTTGAATAGTCGTTTTCTTTCAAGTTGTTTTCTTTTTTATACTCTGCATAGTTGATTCCGAAAAATCTATCGAACTTTTCCATGATATTTACAGAGAAACGTCACAGCTGTAAACCCCCTCCCCCACCCCCAAAACGAACATATGACGTTTCTTGTGGAAAAATCGATATGTGAGGCTTCCCTAAAACTGCAAGGTTTACACTATTGAATTAAAATCCCACAGACCACAACGATTATACGTATTGATTGTTTCTTGACGATAGTAGACGCGTACGTGCATGTTGCGGAAGAGGTTATTTCGCTGGCCTCAGAGTGACAAAAGGTACTCTGGTTCTAGAGGTTTAAAATAATAAACCTCTGTTTGAAAGCGGCAATTAATTCATCGAGCCGCGCCAATCAGCTTGAATTAGGGTAGATAGTTATGATAAGACAAGGGCGGCGCCAGGGCCGCCCATGCAGGGAGGCGGCAAAGGGAGCAATTTTCTCCGCGACCCCAGCTCAAGGAAGACAGGCAAATACAAATTTGCAAGGCGATAAAAAGTTTGTCGACGGAGGGGGGTAATTGTGGTTCACCGGGGCCCCAAGGGTATAATTGGCCCTGGGGCCCCATATTTCACTGAGCTGGTTTGGGCTGCGCCAGTATTTCTCCGACGGGGGGAGTCATCAGTGCTCTCTTTTGATCTTTGTCAATTGGCATTAAAACCGCAAGAACTACCGACAAGTGACCAGGGCCGGATTAACGTCGCGCGAGGCCCGTGACAAATTTTAGCGCGAGGCCCCCAAACCTCCCCCTTTCTTTTTTATGAAAACCATTGAATTTAAAGACACACAAAAGTGTTAAATAATTTTTTTCAATATTTCAATTTATTTGCACAATTATAAACGAGATAATGGCCTGCCTGGCGCAGTTGGTGGGTATAAACAGGATCATAATATAACATCTCAACGCAACTAGAGATTATATGAACACGAGTATTGCATATTTTCCGGGGCCGTGCTAGGGCGAACTGCCAAGCCTACAATCGTGTGCAAAAATAATGAGACTCTTCACATTTTGGTGATCTTTTTCACGTGTATGCCCCCCTCCCCCCATTAACAATGTTGAAAACATATTATTAGATGACCCTTGCCTCAAAATTGTTTTAACAACATTGGAAAAGGGGGAGGGGGGCAAGAACCACTTGTTATAGGGGGCAGGGGACCATTAAACTGCTTGTCTCAATAATTTTTGCACGCGATTGTAGATGATGATCCACCTGCAACAACGATAAACCTATCTGAGGTTCCACCCACAACGACGGTAAACCTATCTGAGGTTCCACCTGCAACAACGATAAACCTATCTGGGGTTCCACCCAAAACAATGGTAGACCCATCTGATGTCGAAGGTAAGTCCAAATAGTTTTACGTATTCACTCATGACAATTAAGCCGCAATTTAATTTATATATACATTTTGAAAACAATGGAATATGTTTCATGTAATCTATTGCTAATTTTCAACTCTCTCTATTTTGAGGTTTAAGTCTGCTTTCCAGTTTTAGCCTAGACCTACAATCGCGTGCAAAAATAATGAGACTCTTCACATTTTGGTGATCTTTTTCACGTGTATGCCCCCCTCCCCCCATTAACAATGTTGAAAACATATTATTAGATGACCCTTGCCTCAAAATTGTTTTAACAACATTGGAAAAGGGGGAGGGGGGCAAGAACCACTTGTTATAGGGGGCAGGGGACCATTAAACTGCTTGTCTCAATAATTTTTGCACGCGATTGTAGATGATGATCCACCTGCAACAACGATAAACCTATCTGAGGTTCCACCCACAACGACGGTAAACCTATCTGAGGTTCCACCTGCAACAACGATAAACCTATCTGGGGTTCCACCCAAAACAATGGTAGACCCATCTGATGTCGAAGGTAAGTCCAAATAGTTTTACGTATTCACTCATGACAATTAAGCCGCAATTTAATTTATATATACATTTTGAAAACAATGGAATATGTTTCATGTAATCTATTGCTAATTTTCAACTCTCTCTATTTTGAGGTTTAAGTCTGCTTTCCAGTTTTAGCCTAGACCTACAATCGCGTGCAAAAATAATGAGACTCTTCACATTTTGGTGATCTTTTTCACGTGCGTGCCCCCCCTCCCCCCATTAACAATGTTGAAAACATATTATTTGATAAGCCCTGACCTCAAAATCGTTTTAACAACATTGCACAAGGGGAGGGGGGGCAAGAAGCATTTTTACAACAGGGAGAGGGCCAATAAACTGCTTGTCTCAAGAATTTTTGCACGCGATTGTCTTAGCAGAGGCCTCATTGTGTTGACAAACTTAATTAAATTTCTGCCAAAAATTGAACTTAACGCAGTCTCGGGCAAAATTTTCATTTTTCGCGCTTTAAGCCCAGTGATCTAGTTTTCGTGCGAAACTCGCACAAAAATGGACTCAAAAGAGGCAGAACGAGGGACTGGGTACGAGTAAACAACCGTTTTGAACTGCTTATTGGATCCTCTATGTCTCCTGTTCTAACTTTTCAATCTGGACTCTGACATCCAATTTTTGCAACTTTAAGCAACGCAATTCTCTACTACGGCAGAAACGGACAGATTGACGAACGCGAAACAGAAATGATCTGGTTTGTTTGGTGGATGGTCTTTGAGTTTACCCGGAAGATTCCGCAGGCGGAGCAGAAAGACCTGTCTCCGCACCCACGCTGTTTTGACGAACTGGTGTTTTGGGATGAACAGTTCTAACTTTTTTCATGCAGCCATCATTGCACATTTACTCTCAAAGAAATATATAAGAATAGATGACACGTTACGCACACGTTACGCACACGTTACGCCACACGTGACGTTTGAGTTTATATAGAATATTAATGAAAACCGACACGTTACACACGTTACGCCCCATTCTTATAAAGGTAGAATAGGTCTACCTTTAATATATTAGGCGTAACGTGTGTAACGTGTCAGCTTGCTATAGATTCTTATATAGTGAAAGGCGTAACGTGTGGCGTAACGTGTGCGTAACGTGTTGAAATTGAGTTCTATTTGGTTTGTATGCATGTATAAGGTCTTCAAAATAATTTTCACGGAGGCAATAAGTCGTTGAGTTTTCGCATAGTACTTCTATTGAATATGCATGGTAGAAGTGTGTACTTAATACATTCGTCACTATTAAGCATCTAAAACAGTTATTGAAGTCAAAAGGCACTGCCAATATAAACGATATAAATAGGGAAAAACATTGTAATATAGAAACACTTAATAAATTTAATACTTTAATCGTTCTCCTCGTTTCTCACTGATCATTGCAACACGCTTGTTCATCGATATAATAATTCAGTTCATAGTACTTTTTGACAAATTCATCGTCGTGCTTTTAATTAACTCATTCGGAAAATTGTTCAAACTTTTCTGACGTGACCTGCTTGTCAATGGCATCTTGTCCTAACTGTTTTGATACTCAAGCGGGACGCGTTCAATTTATGAACTACTTACGGTCATTTATGACGTCACGATGACGTCATTGTGACGTCACAATTCTACACACTGTAGGTAAAATCCTTAGGCACACATGAAACACATAGTCACAGCAAGCAAAGGCTGTTATGCTTCTTATTTACGGCAAAGCGAAATAACCGTATTAAAATTATCATTACTCGAAACTACATAGACAATCGCGTGCAAAAATAATGAGACTCTTCACATTTTGGTGATCTTTTTCACGTGCGTGCCCCCCCTCCCCCCATTAACAATGTTGAAAACATATTATTTGATGAGCCCTGACCTCAAAATCGTTTTAACAACATTGCACAAGGGGAGGGGGGGCAAGAAGCATTTTTACAACAGGGAGAGGGCCAATAAACTGCTTGTCTCAAGAATTTTTGCACGCGATTGTAGGGGCCCTAAATGCGCGAAGTCCCTAAATTCGCGAGGCACCTAAAATGGGTGTGTCGCCATAGAAAATGGCCGTGTTCTCGTAAAAATGGGCGTAGCACAGTAAAGCGCAAGGCCCGCGGCATTTGCCGTATTTGACACGTGGTTAATCCGGCGTTAAACGAGCAACAAGCGTTCATTTTCTTTAAACGCGACGTGTGGGGAGACAATATATAATTTGTGGTGTCGCGCACTGGGCCAACATATCTCAATATTGAGCTGTATGTTTGGGTACTAGTACTTGTGAAATATAATAAGATCAATAGACATTAGTGTATCAAAATAAAGTAATTTTACTGATTATTTTAACTGTGCATCAAAGTAAACATACATTATTCTAAATTACAGTATTTGCTATATGCCTATAATTTGAGTTTGAGGTCGTAGAATATATATAAATAACAAACCTTGTATGGATAAATGTTCATTTCGCACGCACGCTATTACATGTAACAGCTGCTTATTAACAATTAACTTATGTATTCGTAAACATTTATACTCGATAGTCGATATGTAAATACTAAATGGTACATTTAGAACAAAACAACAATTGTCAATTGAAGTTCTAATTTTGGGAAATTTAGTAACAAATATAAAATCCCTAAACAGCTCATCGATTTGTATGTTTGCGCTATTAAAAGTAGACAATATTGAACAATGGTCTGAAGTTGTCATGCAAATGACAACAATATCATATTTCAAAATACCTGTATATGATGATATTTTACAAATATCTCGGGATTTTTGGACCAATTTTAAACTAAGCAAGGCAAAAAGTCTCCATTCAAGAATATATCTTCTTCTCAAAAGGTAAAATACTTAAAATACTTGATTAAATTGTTTACTTCGACGGTATGTAAATTAACAGCGTTTAACTTGCAAGACGTCAAAAACGGACGATTTCAACGCGCTGTCGTTTATCGCGTATTCGTTTGCCAAAAGAAGTATTTACGTCAATTGAAAGCTTGCTTATTAAAGAGCCAACTAGTAGAAGCATGATCGATTTGGAGCTTTATCGCATGGTGAAAATCGATTTTGTTAAGAGGGTATCGTAAATGAAGTAAGATAGTGTGCTCCAAGACTACGATTATATCTATTCCTAAAAGTAACTCAGATTTCCTGTAAGTCATGTATACCGTCCTTTGAATAACCGAAAACAAGATTTTTAGGGTTTTAGATCGATTAGAAACGGTTGTCGTCGTGAAATTTATCTGTAAAATCAGCGCATATTTTCCCAGAAAAATGGCGATTTAGGGTGGTCGTGTTAAAACGGCATTTTCTCAAAGTTAAAAAAGCATTTGACCTAAAAAAATATATGGTGCATTTTCCGATATAATAAGGTATATCTGGGCAAAATTTGAGCAAAATTGATTTTTCCGTCGTGGCCGCCTTATGTTTGATTTTTGTGGACATCCTCTCCACATTTTTGTGGACATCTTTTAAACCTTAAAAGGTTTGCAAAGGACAACCTTTATTGAATTAGCTGTAAATATATATATATATATATATATATATATATATATATATATATATATATATATATATATATATATATATATATATATATATATATATATATATATATATATATATATATATATATATATATATATATACATATATATATACATATATATATATATATATATATATATATATATAGTAATTCGAAGGTCGCGGATTCTAGACCGAGATACTTCGGCGAGATGTGCAAGTTTTGGACCATATTTTAACAATGGTAATCAAAACCAATTTTATATTGAACTTGCCCAGGCCGAAAATTACTTCGCGGAACGCCAGCGCAATCGAGGCCGCGTAGCGACTGTTTACATTATTTGAAATTTGATATTCAAAATAAAACTCCTTCGATCGGATACTGTATAAAACTCGAGATGTTGTCGAAGAAAAGAAAATTAAACGACGGAGATTGAAGAAATTTAAGGAAGAAGTAATATACAGCGGCTCTTTGTTGGAAAGCATGGTAGAATATGATACTTTAAAGTTTTTAATTCGAAATATTATCGTGAATATATTAGTGGCATCCTCCCCCCTGTAAATCCAACGGTAAAGGAGGCCTGGTTGCGCAGACGTTCGCCGTAGTAATTTTCGGTCCGGGTAAGTTCAATATAAAATGGGTTTTGATTTCCATTGTTAAAATATGGTCCAAAACTTGTACATCTCGCCGAAGTACCTCTGTATTTTCGAAGAACGGCATTTGTTGTACATGCTGGCGAATTTTTTTTGAGAATAAAGCGATTTGAGTGTGAGAATTTTCGATTCGAAGTGCCGTGCCGTCGTATCGACGATCGGGAATCGTTAGCCTTTATCATGTTTCATGTATACTAGTAATGCGCGAATCAAATCGAAACCTTGACATCCCCCCCCCGGGCATACCCCCGGGAATTTGGATTTTGACGTTTTGGTCAGGTCAAATTCCCTACATATATTTGTAATTCCCGTTCAAATACACCACGTATTGGGAAAAATTGGAGTTCAAATGCCCCACCCCATGTACGAATTGGAAGCTACATCATTTCGCAATTTTGGAATTTCCAAGTTTTTTTTTCCTTCAAAAACTCTCTTCAATCGTTCAAAGCCGTTTTCTTGTAGCCAACCAAGGACAAAGTTAATTCCTTTGCACTTGAAGACCTTGAACTCATCCATTAATTATTGACGCCATTTTGGATTCTGCACACGTGTTTAAAAGAAAAATTCAAATTCCCGACCCCCTTCAAATTCCCCACCTTCCACTAGAAAAAAGGTCAAATTCCCGCCTTCTTAAAATACTAAACAAGCAAATTCCCCCGGTATGCCCGGGGGGGGGGGATGTCAAGGTTTCGATTTGATTCGCGCATAACATCGAGTACAAAGTCTTGGAAAATATTAGTCCAACAAAGGAGGAATAAAAGGAGAACACACACTATCAAATAGGCAAGTCAATTTCATTTTAAAATTTATATTTTACGACATATTTTTACTATTATATACATTAATATAATATACATTTATACTACAGTATATTAAGTCTATACTGACCCTTGCGAGATTGGGCCGCCTGTGGTCTCATATGTTCGATTTTTACTGACATTCACTCTTAACTGTAGTTACAATTTCTAAAAATGGACCTCCCGCTTCAAAAATCATACCTACTTGTATGGTCATAAATGCACGTTCTTTAGCGAAACCTCATGCGGCTCCTGCACTGAATATAGAACTCAGCAATTGGAAAATAGATATCTGCTTCAAAACATGCATGGCTAAATGCAAACATTCCGTCAAGTCCGATCGCAGTGATGCTCGACAAGGAGGAGGAGTAGCAATTTTGTGTCGAGGAGATTGGAAATGTGTTTGTAGCGAAATCGAAACACCAAATACAAAGTTTTATGTATCTTAGCTCTATCGTCCACCAGATTCCATATTCTCTCTGAACCAAATGCAAGATTAACTATAGCTGGAGATATAAATCAATTGCCTATATAAGAGATCTGATAAGTCAACACAATTTAGATCAATTGGTCAAAAAACCCACAAGAGGTCAAAAAGTGCTTGATGTATTTTTAACAAATTGTCCACACCTTTTCAAATGTCTGGTGAGATTTGGCTGTTCTGATCAGGGTCTTTCAGGGGAGGGGGGGGGAGCAAAGGGGGCAATTTTCCCCGGGCCCCTAGTGTAAGGGGGGGGGGGCAAATTTGCAAAATAAAAAAAAAATTCAAACGTTTTACAGTAAAAGATGACAGGAAGAAGTGGTGTGACACACTGTCAATACAATTACTGCAAGGTAGGAAGACAAAAATAATAACATCGACTGAATTATTGACCCACAACATAAAACCTGTATTTTCAAATGATCAACAGTGACGACAATTATACAGCTTCTGAACTTATTCCCATACCGGAAGGCATTCGTATACCAACCGTTGATGTGTCCAAAGATACTTACAAACGCAGAAACGAACGTCGCCAGGTCCTGACAGTTTTCCGTACTGGCTATGGAAAAAATTTTCTCAAAGCTCTTCAACCTTTCATTGGAACATCAGTAGCTTTTGTGGAAACATGCTAATACTATATACCATTAAAACTACGTTTCAAAACGTTTCTTCAGCATGAGTTTGTCAATCATAACTTTTTGTTTTGCCATAATAACTTTTGTGGGCGCGGTGTCAAGCACATTGTTTTGCACGCTAAAATTTCTTCTTATTTTTCATACGGACGTGTTTATACTGTCAAAATTGCTATAGAAAGCGGAATGACAGATTTATAGCACCTTCTGGATGTGTTTACGTAACAAACCTCTATAATACAAGTGTCCTTTTGAGTTTTGACGCCGAAATTCAAAGTTTCGCGTGCAAAACAATATGTTATATACCACGCCCACAGAAGTTATTATGTCAAAACAAAATGTTTTAGGAGCAAAACAAAAAGTTTTGTATGACAAACTCACGCTGAAGAAACGTTTTAAAACCTAGTTATAAATGCACGCTGCACGGAAGCTCGAAAATGGTAGTATTAATCCACATCCAAAAGAATCCCCTGTGACTGAATGTAATCAGTTAAGACCAATATCACTAACAAACATTATTATTATGAGGTTATTTGAAAGAATCGGGTTTTTTTCGATTCGGTTTTGAAAGAATCGATTTTTGAAAGAATCGACTTTCGATTTTGAAAGAATCGATTTTTTTCGACGGAGCTTAAGTCACTGATTAAACGAGCTAAATTTGCCTATAAAGAAGGTACAAACACGACGGATGCCCTTATTATGTGTCAACATAACTGGTTGAAGTGGTTAGATGAAGATGCTGATCACGCTCGAGTGATATCATTTGACTTTAGCGTTCGATTCCGTCCCACACGACATTCTATGTGAGAAATTAAAAACAGTCAATATTAACCCATATATACTACCAATTGGATCATAAGTTTTCTGTCTAATAGAAGACAAAGAGTTGTAATCAATGGATCCGGAACAGAAACAAGCTAAGTAGATATTAACAAGGGTGTACCGCAAGGTACGGTCTTTGGTCCATTTTTACTTTCATTAATGATTAATGATACAACAGTTAAGGATTCGCGTAACAATCTATTAATCAAATTCGCGGACTATATGACCGTTAGCGCACCGGTTAAATCAAATTGTGATTCTGCAGCTGCTGAGGCAAAGAGTATTGACGACTGGTCAAAAATACACAGAATGTTCCTAAATCTATCAAAAATGTAGGAAATGATCGTGAGTGGCAAAACCACAAAACCACCTCCACCTTCGGTTGCAGGTTTGGAACGAAAAACGTGATTGAAATTACTTGGTGTCTTACGTCAGGATGCACCCTGCTGTTGGGATATGCACGTTGATAATTCACTAGCTAAAGCTAGTAGCTGCATGTACATACTAAGAATATGCCGATGTTATGGATACTCGACAGAGCAACTGACGAAATTGTTTGACTCGCTGATTACGTCTCTCTTCTTGTATGGAAATGAAGTATGGGATTCTGTTCTCGGGATGAAATATCTAACAGAATTGATAATTCTTTTAAAAGGGTCCATGCACAGATTTGGATATACTACAAAAATCATTAAAATATCAAATGTAATTGAAGAAAGAGACAAATGCATGCTTATTTGATAAGATAAGGAAGAATCCAGAACAGAATTTATATGAGCTACTTCCTGCTAAGAAGCAGCGATTATTACGGGAACAAGACTTCATCTTCCCAGAAATAAAGACGGAAAAATTCAAACGATCGTTTTTAAATACTTTTTGACTGTTCAACTTCATATAAAGACTAGTTTAAGTGAGGTTATACTCTAACTAGTATCGTAATAAGTAGTTATATTTTTAAGTATATCTGTAAATAAGCTTAATTAAATATCTTGTCATCTTTTGTAAAGTTACACGTCTGATGCGGGTTATAAATTTCCTTGGTAGTTAAACTTAGTATGATTTAGCATAAGAATAGTGTCATCCAGACACGATTCAGTGATAACTAAGAGTCCTTAAAAATCATATTATTTTCACTTATTATAGCATTTATGCAAAGAACCTATTATAAATTAACGCGGTTGTAAACACGTTCTAAGCAATAATTTTACCAGCGAAAGTATATAGACAAAAGTTCAACATTGTAACTTTCCGATCATGTGCATAACATAGGCTCCGTATCTCTTGTTGTGAGACTTCCGACGTAACGTACAGAGCCAGAGGTTCTCCGTACATCATTTATTTCCAGCTCGCAGTTTGGATTGATTTGTGCCACCACCGGTGATGCTAAGTCTTCACTCTTTGCCATCGTGCCGACATTTCGGACACCAGTAATTGTACGCGGCGTACTTGCATTTAAATATACCACAGCAGCATCATGGCGATTCTTCCAATACTTTCTGGCAAAGAACACGATCAGGAGAAAAATTGGAAATGTCACAATTAGAGCAACGACGACGAATTTCCCAGAGTTACGCGTAGAGCTTTCTGTAGTGAGATGCTCGCTGACTTTGGGAACATTGGTGTACCAAAAGAGAGAAGTGATTATGATAGCCAGCAGAAATAGAACTATAAGGATTACATAACAAAAATGAATCTTATAGCATGACATTTTAACACAAGGACAGTAAACGGCACAACATGGTCTCAGACTGCCTTCGCTGACGAGAATTTGTACTTTTCGGCCTGTATCGCCCCACATTGCACTTGAACCTTCGACTACAAAGCCGCGATTGAAATTATCTGGTTGGTTTGGCTTTGGAAGTGGATTCATTTTGGGTGATGTTGATGGCTCTGGTATAGGATCGGCTTCAACAACAATTCCACTACTATCTGCTGTTTCCAGACCTTCAAACCTCTGGACACGATGGACAAGATCACGTCTCTTTATGGTATTTAGGATTTTCTTCAAATAACCAACATTGTCTTCGCTAATGCGGCAATCATGACGAAGATGGTCAAACAAATGATGACCACTTGTTATTGCAGCTCTGCGACTTTCCTCAATCCTACAGATGTGAATGAGATTTTCCAAGTCTTTTGGATCCAAAGCAGAACTTATCTGGTGCAACAGTTTATTGAATTTCTCCATTGTATATATTTTGTTATTTGATAAACACATTACATATATTTAATACAGCAAAAAACCCTGTATTTCCCCTAACACTTACTGCACTGCAGGTGCCTATAGAAATTTAGGCGGTACGATCGGTGATAACGTCTGATATGCATTTAATTATAAATGACCACAAATGATCATTTTAAACACCCACGTTTATTGCCCTTGAGCTGTATTCCTTTATAACTGTGCTTTGCTGCTATATTCTTTCAAATATTACTGGTACTCGGCAAAGTTTAAAATCGATCCATATAAACTAAGACATAATATGAAATATTTAAAGGGTATTGGCAACAAAATTTTTTATTGATTTTATTGCTTCATCTGAAGGAGCATGAAAAAATAAGCCGATTGGCCGTTTACTGCTCTATTCTATCTCATCTGGTTCGGAAGTTATACGCAAAAATGTGCAAAATATAAATTGCTGATTCAGCACATTCTGTGACGTCATAAGCTGGGTAAGTATGTTTATTGAATAGTAAACTAAAGCATAGCTGAGTTATTATTAGCTCAAATCAAATGAAATTTTGCATACAGATAGTACATGATGAGATGCATGGGACAAATACTTCTAATTTCGTTGTCAAGGCAACACAGTCGTTCCCAGGCCTCTTACACTGATTTTGAATAACTAGTTGCATTTATCTATGTGTATGTCATTTTCGAATTATTATCATGCTAGTAAACTTTTGGCATGCATAGGTATCATACACATACTTCTGATATTATTTTATTCTTATCAGTACCTTGAATAAAGCTGTTTCATAAAATTGGCGCAAGGGGCCTGGAAACGACATTGTTACCTTGGCAACAAAATTAGAAGTGTTTTTCCATGCGTCTCATCATGTACAATCAGTATGCAAAATTTCATTTGATTTGGGCCCATAATAACTGAGCTATGCTTCAGTGTAGTATTCAATAAACATACTTACCCAGCTAATGACGTCACACGTTGTGCTGAATCAGCAATTTATATTTTCACATTTTTGCGTATAACTTCGGAACTAGATGAGATAGAATAGAGCATTAAACGGCCAATCGGCTTATTTTTTCATGCTCTTTCAGATGAAGCAATAAGATAGATGAAGCAATTTTTGTTGCCAATCTCCTTTAAGACGAAAAGTCTAGTGTACGAGTGTTTACGACTACCAAAATTTTAATGTGTTAATTTTCTCGATAACCCAATCGTGAATTATTTCTTTTGTAATGTAAAATTTCACCGAAAGTTTTTTCTTCCTGATGAGATTTCAATTTCTCCGATCGCAAAGAAAATATCAGAACGTTTCTGACTGGTCGCTTGAAACTGCCTTTAAAATTTGTTAACGGCGTGCTTCAACATGAAAAAGTAAGTTCGAAATTTTAACAATCTATACAGGGTGTATAAAAAAAAACTGAACAGATTTGAAATTGCTCTCAATTTCGCAAAACACCTATTTGTATCTGTTTTTTTATATATAGCTTCTTTGGGTACTTATAATGTAAAATAATGAAAAAAATTTCTCGAACTCAAATTTTGTGAACCAGGGGGGTGTATCTTTTCCAACAAACTAAAAAAAGCTGTAATCATATTTTGAGTTAATAGATTGAAAATTTGTCGGGTTTTTAATTACTGTACAAAATTTCAGACAATTTGGTTTAGTTTAAGCCCTTTAACTATTCATTTTGTTCTAAAAAGTCAGCCTTTCGCATGCTTAATTAATGCCTTTATACCTAATTTGCATATTGCTGACATATGCAAATTAGGCAAATGCATTAATTAAGCATGCAAATAGCTGATTTTTCGGGAAAATTGTAACTTTGCGTGAATAGTTAAGGGGCTTAAACTAAACCAAATTGTCTGAAATTTTGTACAGTGATTAAAATCCCGACAAATTTTCTATCTGTTAACTCAAAATATGATTGCAGCTTTTAAATTTTGTGCGCGAGCCATTTTTAGTTTGTTGGAAAAGAAACACCCCCCTGGTTCACAAAATTTGAGTTCGAGAAATTTTTCTCATTATTCTACATTATAAGTACCCAAAGAGGCTATATATATATATATATAAAAAACCGGATACAAATAGCTGTTTTGCGAAATTGAGAGCAATTTTAAATCTGTTCAGTTTTTTTTATACACCCTGTATAACAATCTTTATGATTTCTTTTCTGGTAGGAAAGGAACACACAACACACAATTAGGGTATTTAGTTCGAATTTATAATTTATTACTGCGTGTTTTTACAGTTCTATTGTTTTGCAGGGACAGGAAGTCAAGGCCGGCGAGAGGGGGGCAGGGGGGGGAATACCCGGGGCCCGGAGTGCTCAGAGGATTTTTCTTTTTTGAATTGTTCATTTGTTTTGCAGTTGGGCTATATAAGTATCCCGCAATCTGAACTATACTTTAATGTAGGCAGATAGTAAGGTCCTGTCGATGACCAAACTTTTGAAATGTCTTCGACTTCGTTGCACAAAGTGGAAAACTAAACACGTGACAAAGAATAGACTAATCATGCAATGACAGCGAACAATAATAGCGGACACGCACCAAAGATTTGGAAGCGTCGAAGCGAGTTCAAGAGACTATAACCAACGATGAAATGGTAGCGTCAGGGCCGCCCAGAGGGGGCAAATTGCCCCGGGCCCCGAGTTGCTGGGGGCCCCTGAAAAATTTTTGTTGGGCCCCAGCCTTTTTTGTTTGTTAAATATTTCCGCTCAAAGGACAAGATATCTGTTTTCTTGGGCTAAGTACCGAATTTTGGCATAAAAAAATGAGATAAAGTCCCTCGAAAGCAATTGCAACGTACTCGTCCGGAAAAATTTTGTACTCCGGAAAAAATTTTTTACCCCTAAAATGGTACACTGACCGAAAATTTTTTGGCGACGGGGGGGGAGGTTGTTCTCCGGGAAAAAATTTTTCCGGGAAAATTTTTTTAGATAGGGGCCCCTAAAAAAAAATTTGCCCCGGGCCCCCGCCAACTTCTGGGCGGCCCTGGGTAGCGTGTTTATACTGTATCATTGTATGTGATCACAACAACATTTTTTATTATAAAAAAGTACTAGATACATTATTTACACATTGCCATTGGCTAGATATCCGAAATAGTACAGATGAAATATTTTAGGAATTATAAGAAATATTTCAAACATTGTTAACAACTACTGAATGTATTTGTACATATTTATAAATATTAACCAATAAAGTTGTTAAAATAATTAGTCATAACAGACATAAACAAAGATTATTAATAGAACAGTTGCCAATGTAGGAACAACATTGTTCAAAATTTTAAATCACGAGATATAACTAAAATTTAAAACTTGTGTTGTCGTTGTAGTTCATTTCTAACTAAACGACCTATAACTTCTAACTAAACGACCTCGACTATTTCTATCTCGAAGTTGAACTCAACGCAGTCGTTAAAGCATGCAAGTGCCTTCCACGGTGGTGCAGTCGTTGGAGCAAGCGTTAGGATAAACAAAGTTAGGAAAGTAATATCACAATTGTTGTACAGGTAATAAAGATAAATAGTTTAACCTAAGTGTGCACTGTTAATTTCAGGGAGTTAACTTAACTCCGGTGGAGTTATACTGTACCTCAATTAAGGTTAGAGAACACCTTTGAATGTTAATTCTGCCTAAATTTTTTTTATTGGTTTCCATGAAAGCATTAGACTATAGTTCTACTATCTGACCAAGTTTGAACGAAAAATGTTGAAAACTCGCAGAGTTATTTAATAAAATACATTTCGCGGCAATAAGAAAAACATTGAAAATGTAATATTCAAATTCAATTTTCTCCCGAAAAAGTTTACGGTAATTACTGATTTTCAAACGAGTTGTGCTCCTGCGGGTTTTAACTAATTTTTCTCAAATTTTCACAGGACATAGCTAAAGACGTCAGTTTCAAAATTCTGTTCGGCTTTTTTTAAATTTTGGATATTTTAAAAATAAAGAGCAATTCATTCAAACAATTCAGAAATATATTGCAGTCGTCAAAGAAATCGCCATATCAGCGGAATGACGAAATAAACAAAAATTTCCGAACACAATTTTTTAGAACAACTATTTTACTGTATAAAAATGATATTTTCATAAATATAACTTAAAACCAGCAGGAGCATAACTCAAAAGCGTAAAGGTACCGCGATTTAAGATTTTCCTGAATAATTCTTACATTATTCTATTGTTTGTTAATTTTACAACATTACCATATTTTGCATGCACTGGAGAACATTTGGTAAAAATTTGATGAAAATCGGACTGATATTGAGCGCGCAGTAGCGATTTTCCGCAAAACGCCAAAAATGGTGTCCTGTAACCTTAACTCCAAATGTGGAGTAAAATTAGGTTCAGAATAATACCACTGGAGTTAAATTAACTCCCTGAAATTTACAGTGTGGGCAATATAACCGTAACACTTGATGTAATCGGTCACTGAAAAGCCCCGATATAGGAATGAGCTAAATAACGAGTAATAATAATAATAATAATACACAGGAAGATTAAAATTAATTGGAACCGCGAGACACAGCGTCTTGGTCAGTATCAGCATCCTTAGTACCAGAGTCTGCAACAATTTCGTCATCAATATATCGAGAAAATCCAAAGTTGGATTTCTTCTTGTTTTCAATTTTGGATGTGCCAGCCCTGGTTTCTCTCAGGTTTATTAACTTTCTTGCTCAAACTTCCTGCATTCCATTTTGATTTCCAGCTGCTGTTGCATTTTTCTTGGATTGACGATCACGACGTTTCTTCACATAACACATTGAGAACAAACATGCCAGAAATAATACAACAATCGCAAGGAGGACGAATGGACCAGCTTTTTTCACATGTTCATCCGACGTGATGGCCTCGTTGACTTTGGGTACATCAGCATACCATAATAGAGCAACGATTAAGAGACAGACCAAGAAGAACGTTGAAAGGACAACATACGACCACCTTATTTTACCACCGTACTTATAACATGACATCACCATACACGGACAGTCGATTGTACAACAGGTTTCCTTACGTGTTTCCTTCATATCAGATCTGCTAACAGGTGTAATAGTGGACGGCATTGACACATTACTGCTCAGTGTAGACGATACATCATCTCGTGTCGGCATTCCGTTCTCGAAGTTTTCGATTTCTCTGATCAAATCTCGTCGCTTGGGACTCAAGTTTTTCAGCACCAATTTTAGCTTGTCTCGCTTGTGCTCGTTAATAATGTCTCTTTTAATAAGATTATCAAAGAGACTTATTCCGTCTTTCAACCCGGCTCGTAGACTTTCAGGAACATCACACATAAGCACCAAACTTCGGATCTCGTGTTCATTTAGTCGAGCACTAATCCAGTTCAAAAGTATTCTAAAACGATTGGCCATTGTTGAGTATTAACTTTAACTTTGGTTTCTCGAATCGAAAATGTTTTGCTTTAAAATGCTTTGGGAAATTGGTACGGGTAATCCCCGTTGGTTTTATGCTGCTTAATATTTTCTGACGTAATACTATTATTTATAACTTGATTTAATTATTATTAATCTATTATTATTAATTTTTAAGGTTGCGGCTGGTTTAAAGATCGTTAAAACATCAACAACCAGGCACTTGTAACAATCCTAAGCCTTATCCTAAACATTACCCTACACCTACCACCAATCCTAAAACTGAAGCGAACTCTGTATTCAAAACTCTGTATTCAAATTTGAACTATCTTGTAAACTTCCTTTCGTCCATTTTAGTCATTACCATGGCGAGTGAAAACCATTCGCCCACCTACATTCAGGAAAGTCATGCATGCATAAATTCTAGCAACCTCGTACCCAGGACTTTAAGCGTAGAAGCCCTGGGTACGACGTTGAAATTCTAGTGACAACCAATAATAAATACCTCTTCGAAATTCAAACACAAAATGAGTTCACATGCCTTATCTATAATCGAAAATTTTATTATCATATTTAAATTTTGGACAAAGGATATGTCATTGCAGTGTCAATGCATTGTCATTGCGTCATCGTCAAAGCTGTTTTTCTAATCATAATGACCTGCAGTTATAGCAGTATCTGACTCTTCCACAGTCCCTCAAATTTGCTTCGGCCTAATTGCAGGTAGCTTCAGTGACATGCCGCGACATTGGTCTCTTTCCCACAAATCACCTTTTCACTTCCCAAATTGGGAAGGTGAGGAATTGGAGCGTCTTGTTTAGTTATTCTATTTACTGTAGAAGTAATTTACTCATATTTGTGTTTCACTCAGAATTTCTCTGTTCAGTTTTAGAAATTTATCAGGAACTGTATTGTATTGGATTACTTTCGGTTCCAATGCATTCAAGAAGTACAAGTCCCTATTTCTTACCTTATTACCTCGCACGCTACGTCGTATGTGCGTATCAGGGACATGGAGAAAGCATATATATTAAACCGCAGGAGTAATGCCTGCTCTCCCCCCCATTCCCCCAGGGTTTTCGTCATATAATCTCAATTTCAAGTGTCGAGGCAATGCTGATACTGCTAAGTTCGATTTCGTGACAAGCGAATCAGGTATCATACACAGAAACAGAGTTTCATATACATGTAAATTGTCATCTTCCTGTGTTTTTTCGGTGTATGAAGATTGTCACAGTGCAACCTATCTAAGAGAACCCTCGACTATCTATGATGAGTATGACCCCCTTCCGATCATAATCTACCTTAATTAAATTTGTTCAGTAGCCTTTTCATTTATCCTGCAATGCATGGAGATTGCAAATGTACGTCAATATAATACCCGGCTTATACATTCTGTATTTAGCATGTTTTACTCGCGCATTCCTTCGGCCAGTCTATGTACATTTTGCTTAATCTGTGACAATGTCATATACTCAGACTGTTCAATTGCATTCACTATGAGAATCGTATGATCACTTGAATTAGAGTTCACCCACGTCCTTCCGTTCAGTCCTACCGTAGATTCGAAAGAAAACACTTTTCCAAGAACCTTGAGGACAGCGCCATCTGGATTAAGCAATCTAAATAGCAACCATAACAATAAATACCTACTATACTATCCAGGTAACTTCAACATGATTCAATCTCAGACCACTGGTTGAAAAGTTACATGCATGGTCACTGTCAATGAATGAAATTTGACTTGAGAATTTAGTATTCGGGTTAAAAAATTTAAAAAACCGCACACTACTACAAATATATACTAAATAAATACTTAATTTTTGGAAGCCAATAAACATCAAACTACAACATGAATCAAAGGCCGTTGAGGCAGACTCACGGATTAGATCAAATGAAAGTGACAGAAAGAATTGGAGCAGTTTGCATGCAGTTGTTTTTGCAAACGGGCACAATGCGAATTTTGCCATTTATCGTGCTTCGTTTGCCAAATCAAAAGAACGAACGCGTGCTCCAGCCCGATTTGCGGTTCTGAAAGGTCCAATTTGCAGGTAAACAGTGCGCACAAAGCAGGCGACAGGTAAACAGTGCGCACAAAGACTCACAGATGTTACTTCGCAACATCCGTGAGTCAAAAAGCGTGACACTGCAAAGCCTCTTACTGAGCAAAGATTACAGAACTGCTAAAGTTACAGTATAACGTTGATTCCTTACTTTCTAGTTAATCCCAATGAATGTGTAAAAAGGAATCCATCTTTTAAAGGACCCATACCATTTGCTTTACCATTTGTGTCCGTACATACTAATTCTGCTTCCATATCTTTATTGGCGACAGATAAACGACCATACACCAAATCCCCAATCTAAGACATATAATGCAAGAAAGTTTCAAGTTTTTAATTTCTAAATAGACACGTTGGATAATTATTATTATATGTACACTCGTATAATCGTATACAGTATAAAATTAATATCGTAATTGATAATACAGCCCGCATATATCGGGTTAACGGCAATGAAAAACATGGTAAAGGTTGAAATGCATGCTAACTTGCAATTTCTTCAACGTAAAATTAAAGACAGTCTGGTCTGGAGCGATCTTCTTTGAAACGGCTTATCTTGTCGATAAAGTTTTAAAAAGCTGTACTGAAAGTGAAACTATACGCCACCGTTACGATGAACCAATATATAAGGAAAACTCGTATACATAATATTAGGTATATTAAGTATATTAGTGAAAGACTGAAACAAATTATATACACTACCTTTAGTTGAGGTTTATTTTTCTTTGTTGCTCCTTCAAATGCTAGAAATGGCAATGCAGAGGCCATACTACTTCCAATGTCAACTTGATAACTCTCTCCTCCTCTGTTTGTTACTATTCCAACTACTTTGTCATTTTTTACTGGGATATACTAAAAACAACAGTTTTATTTTCGAATTTACTTCCACGCATGGTTCAGAATGCAGAATTATTTTATATAAACTGACGAAAAAAGTGTACAAAGGTTATAATACATGATGAGAGATCAAAATAAAATCATTTTGTTTCCATGAAGATTAACCTACGAAGCAAGAAACAAGTGAACTTAAAATCGTTTAAACACATTTCTACGCAAACCATACAGCATACAACTACACATTTGAAATTATTCTGATCCAACATATTGGGTAATATATGCTTTTTAACAGTATCTTAATTGAAAAGATAGTATAGATGATGCGCAGCTAGCCAGGATAAAACATATACTGTATCCTTGACTTCGGATAATATCGGTTATTTTTATCATCAACGTTTGAGAGTTAAGTATTTGTTATTATGCCATTGGCAAAAATTTAAAATACACTTTATGGATTGCGTTGTAGTGTAAAGTGACAGAAAGTCGCGTGTCGCATACACTACTCACTTAGAACTTCGTCAGAAAAAACTATTTTACTCGTGTCATCGCTATTGTCGAATAGTGTCCGACAGTGATGTCACTCTCTGTGAGTAGCGAAATTGTTTGTTTATGACATGTATAAGCCTATTTTTAAAATCAACAAGCAAATAGTCGCTCTCCACAAGGCGGTTTCGTTTATATACACTGTGCAAGAGAAACCTCAATAAAAAGAAGTATTATAGTCTATATTTTAATACTGTTTACTTTTCTTTGTTTTGGCACGTCGATTTAAAGTTGTTATATTTCTAATGCCGCACTCTTTGCCGACTCGTAAGTCGTAACACGCGAGTGACTCGCCACCAGTGAACTCTTTTACGGATAACTCTGGGTCTCTGGCTATTGTTTTGAAGCCAAAGGTGGAGGAAATTGAAGCCCATTTTGTAGGTATGCCCTAGGCCTCTACGCGGAAATTCACTGAATTCTGTATGAAAAATCAGCGTCATTTCATGTAGAATTTCGGCCGATCATTTTTTAAAGTCCGGCTTTACCATGGTCCTAAGAAACTAGAGCATAGTTTAAGTCTTGAACCTGGTCACTGTTTGAAAAGGAAAAATAAAGTTGTGCCTAAATCATTGGGAACCTACCCATGGTAGGCAAAAAGCTGGAAGGCCAAGGAAGAATTGTGTTCATTCCACATTTCCAGCACAATATTAGCATGGATATGGAAGGCTTGGAAAGAGCAATGGAAGACCAGTGTAAGAAGGATTTCAAAGTGATTGTCATGCAGTAGTAGCAGTATGAAGTATCAAAAGATTGGGGGGGGGGGGGGAGGGCACTTTTGGAATGAAAATTGCACCTGAAAAATTTTTCCCGGGAATGTTGGCGACGGGAAGGGGGGTGGGGGGGGGGGTGGGGGGAAAGGAGGAAATATAATTGCAAAAATATAAAATGCAAGCTGCACAACATTTTTCACAAAGGCAAAGGGCACTTTGTCACCGGAAAGTGGGCATTTTTGTGTTTTCTGAAGGAAAAATAATTGTAATCATAAAAAATGCAATCTGAACAACATTTTTCACGAAGGCAAAGGGCATTTTGCTACCGGAAAAAGGGCACTTTCTGAAAACTTGGGGGCCTTTGCCCCCTTGCCCCCCTCCCCAGTTCCTATGCCCCTGCAAGACATTCTATCATTGTAGACTATTTTGGAACAGTTTTCAGTCACTTAATATCTATAAAAATAATTATAGACTTGCTCCAATTTTCATTTGTGATGATTTTTTCTGTTTGATCGATCAGACAATTTAAATTCCTATTCGGATTCCAAATGGAATTTTTTGTAAGGGGACGGGTGAAGCAGTTGTTTATTTGTTAAGGAGAATTTCAATATTGACTTTTAAAGTTATAATAAATAAAATTGTTTACTGACAAGTGTGTTAGAAATATAGAATCTTGTCTCATATTTAAGTGCTGTTATAATCATTAATGTACTCAGCTATTGCCTGGTGTTTTTAATATTGGTTTTACATGCTTCACTTGTGTTCAGTGTACAGACTACAGTGTTCTTTGAATCCTGCCACATGTTATTACTCGATCAAGGAAGAAAGAATGACAGACTTACCGGTAGTAATTCAAATTACTAAATACTAATATATTATACAACATTGTGAATATTCATCCGACATCGGCCAGGTTGGAAAACTTGCTCCAACTTGCAGCTACACTGTAATTAACAGCCCACACTCACATCTTAAATTGACAATGGACTAAAAATAGTGGCTAGGGTTTGAGTTTCTGCGACTAGTTATTAAAACTAATAGTAACTGTTACGAAATACAACATTGTCTTGTCAAAAATGTTGGTATGATCATGTCATTGAAAATACCAGGCCAAAAAAGCAAACAAAGTCACAGTCCACACACAAACAGGGAATGTTCACTGATCAATCCTTTTACATGTAATTGGGGACTCATCTTGACAATTTCACCATGAACATTCCCAGGGGGTCTGGGGTCATGCTCCCCAGAAAATTTTGAAAATTACAAGCTTGATGGCTTTGGATAATTAATTAATTTGCTTGCAGTTTGCATTTACCCGATTATATGTCCACTCGCAGTTCGCAACTGATCAATCCAGATCACTTGCAAGTTGCAAGCTACAGTACACATAGGGAAATTGATACAAGTTTTCCAACCTGGGACATCAGACATCAATTCTTTAGACAGTATATTTATCCTGAACTTTTCCAAATTCCCGCACCCTACCCCCTTCCCTATAAACGGCCTAACCGGTCCTTTTATAATATTCTAACCATTCTGGCCACGTGTTTGCAGGAAGAACTCTTTCATAATTTTAACGCTTGAAATTTCACTCTTAACCACGTCACTACACTGTGTTTATTATATTATATATCAAATACTGGAATGAAACAGAATATTAAATACCCTTTTCTGATCATTATCAATCCAAAACATGGTGCTGTCCTTTTCTCTCAATACACCACATTTATACGCTATAATATTGTCTTTATCCATTCTTAATCCAGGTCCAAGCTTAAGCTTTATTTTTTTAACCACAATTTGCTTAGTTTTCACTTTTTCTGCAACTATATCTCCTGGTAATACAACTTCATTTACAAAATGAAAATCGTACGAATGATCCGCCATCTTGGAAGTATTTGAGTCCGCGATCTTTCACTGTGCAATACTTTATGTTAGAATTTTCCGCACAAAGACTTGCAGAACAGGGTTGGTAGAGGCCTCTGGGTAGAGGCCAAATAACTCGATTTTGGCTTCTTTTTTTTGTTGCTTGGCCTCCAAACAAAGTTTAGTCTTTTCGCTCGTTTTTGGCCTCTTTTCACTTCAAAGGAATTTTTAAAAATTTTATTGACTCTAGTTGTAAAAAAATATTATAAATATTGATGAGAGTTTTGCGTTAAATTATATTCATAATCATGTCGAGAAAGTACAGTAAAGCCTAAAGCGTGGAAATTTGTCTTCTTTTGAAAAATAGTAGTTTGGCCTCTTTTGGTAGATTTTGGCTACTTTTCAAATCGTATTTGGCTCCGAGCATGCGCTTCAGCACATCAGCCTACCAGTACCAATCGTAGTAGGCTTCAGCCTACCAGTACCAATCCTGGTGCAGAAGACAAAATATAATAGTTCGGAAAACCTTTTCAAAGTTCTGCTGTGGCTATAAGTGAAACACAAATAATGATTGAACAGCTGCTGAACTGGACACATTGACATGCACATTCTAAATTTCTAATGCTTCCAGCGGTCTCAACGTAACTGTATGTCATGATAGACAAATTTGGCCAAACCTTTGTTCATACCCAATTAGTTGACCTGCATCTAAGGACGAAACTCGAAAGGGCTTATATTCAGTTATGCAAATTTGTTATCTTAAATCTGATTGGTTATATATCACTGAATATATACTAATAGCCACCTAAGCTGACCTTGTGTGCAAATGATTATTTGTTATGATGGACCGGCAAAAGGCAAAAGCATGCATATTATTGTTGCGTGGACAAATTCCGTTCACATGTCGCATTGTATCATAAAATCAGGTTAGCATCTAGACTCAAAATTTAGACTCAAACATTTTCACCCGCCAGGTTCAACAGGCAGAACAATAGTTTTATTGCGCGCCTGTCAGGGATTTCCACACGCGTTTGTCGGGGATTCAAAGTGCCAGCAATGCAAAATTGAAATTTCTTCTAAAACCCATATATATCTTTTCTCGGTTATTTATTTGTGAATTTGAGATTAGTAGAATTCAAGAAGAGTCCCATGCACATAGACGCAAAACATTCCGGAACATTTGCAATTTTTCACAAATAAAATATAACCCAAAGCTGCCTTTTCCATCAGGGTCCGCGGAGTTTAGTCAACGAGTAAAAGAAAAAGTAAATTAGTGATATATTATTGTATGGTTGACGATCAAAAGTTAATATTTCATTGTTAAGATAATGACTGATATGTTACAAGATTCCATAAGCCCTACAGAATTATGTGTGACCTATACCCATGTCGCAGCAGGGCCTGCGAAGGAGGCAAGGTTGAATTAAAGATTGTGTGAATAATTGGCGCGACTGTTCGCGGTACGGCACGCGCAAGCGCGTACTCTTCCTAATTAATCACGCAACGTCATAATAGATCATAACTTAATTTTTTTCAGAAAGCTTTCCTGCTAGCGCAAAGATGTCGGACTACGATAGTCTCGAAGGTGATTTAGTAGAGTTAGGTAAAGAACGTGCGGGAACATACGAGGGAGGTCGCGATGCAGGAGGTGAAAGACATGGTCATGGTACAGCGACACATAATAATGGAGATAAATATGATGGCGATTATGACACTGGCATGCGACATGGCTTGGGAAAATACAAGTTTAAAAATAAGGCCAGGTAAAACAAGGTTATAAATTAAAATCAAAATGAATCAGTTGTTTGCATCCAACTGATAAAATGTCGTAGAAATGTTTACGTGAAACTTTTAGTCAATTAGCATTGGACAAGTTTTAATTTGATCACCCAATCACACTTAACAAGCCTCAGGGTGATATAGTCGGGTGATATAGTTTTTTAACTATATAATATATAAGCGCAACAAGCTATCGTTGATATAGGAATGGTATGCAATTAACTGAAAAATACAAGGAGAAATTCAACGTTTCGAGCGAAGGCCCTACGTCAAATTTCTACTTGTAATAATTGGCACTGCCTACACTGGCACAGGCCGTCGAAGATTATATATAACAGGGCCTACAGTAGGATGTGCATGTAACTGGGGGACATATTTAGCGGGGGACCTAGAGAAGTTCCAGTCGGCAAGTCTGTATCACTGCAGCTACCAGCATTTATATGCATGGTTTAACTAATAAGTATACGTCAAAGGGCAGCAGATCCGGCCGCAATTACTAGGATTCTGAGACAACCGAGTCGAGCACCGAAGGTGCGAGCCTGTAGAGGGGTCTGGGGGCATGCCCTCCCCAGAAAATTTTGAATTTCTTGAAGCTCAGATAAGATATTTGATAAGCAGTTTTCCAACAATAAATTAACCTAGTTACGGGCCTGCAGATGATGGTCAAATGCAGTAATGTTAACAACTTAACATCATTTTTTCACTCTGATACATAATTGCTGACATACTGCAGGTAGTTCTTAGGGACCTTACTGAGGGGGGGAGGGGGGGGGGACACAATTGCCGACTGGAGGGGCCAGTAGGAGGGCTGGGGGGACATGTCCCCCCAGTCTATATGTTAAAAGAGGTCCTGATATATAAGCGCCCCAATTTTCCCTATCGCGCCGATCTTCAATCAATATGTTAGCTTCTTTTACAAATGAAAAAGCAGCTGTCATACTGCATTTCCAAAAATTCGTTGGTTATTGGTCAGGTATGAAGGTGAATATAGCAGAGGTCTCAAGGAAGGAACAGGGACATTTATCTACCCAGATGGATCACAATATGAAGGGGAATGGAAGAGGGGTATCCGGGATGGGCATGGAAAATATACTTATGTAAATGGTGATTGGTACGAAGGATCGTGGAAAGATAATAATAAAGAAGGACGTGGAGTGTACTATCACAGTCAAACTGAGGCAAAATATTCAGGTAGATTTCTTTTCTCCTATTGTGGTTTGTGAAATCATGAATAATAATGAGTTTTGCATCCAATCAAACTTCAAACAACGTTCACGTGAACCCCAAAGAAATGAAATCATGAAAATGCTAATTGAATGAGTTACAAACACTATAGTGGTTGCAACTCTTCCGATAAAACCACAAGTGTTTGTAATACCATGAATTCTCGCCTTCTGCTTGTGTAATACATTCAATATACAATACAACTCGGTCGCTTGTGATGTAAACAGTACGTGCAATTTGTTCAATTGATTAGTTTCGAAGACGCCAGTTTACGGCAATTTTCTCCCGGCACCGAGGCGGGATTTTAGGTAGAATGAAAACAGAATTTGAACTGATCCGTCCAGTTCACGTCGATAAGTTTCCCGGCACCGAACTCATATGGATACAAGCCTCGTGCACTGTACGCGTATTTTAGGTATTTATATTATTATCATGTCGTGCAGTGGTTCAAAAATGTCTATATTTTCTTTCCTCTAGGAATGTGGTCAGTTGGAATACGAGAAGGGCCCGGTGATATGATGAACAATCACTTCAAATATCATGGATATTTTAGAGATAATCTTCCCAATGGTCCAGGTAAAATGTCGTTTAAAGGGTGTCAACAACTTGGGGAATATGTTATGACTGATGTATTCGTCAGGAAAAATGGTTTGCTCGAAACAGAGCAAGAACCAACATGGCGCTGTACAGAGTTGATATATTCCGCTGGACCAAGAGAAATGCCTTCCGTCGAACAATTGAAGGATAATAAATAACATGACGTAATGAATGAGCTAGTTGTATGTTTTAATTTTATATAACTGTAATACTGTATTTTATATAGTTGTATGCTGCAGTAACACTTTAACATTGCAATCAGATCATTTTTAAATATAATTTGATTGTCAAGATTGTTAATTTTGAAAAATTGAATGCAATTTTCTTCAGTGCCTGCAAAACCATGTCGCTGTTTAATTTTATTTGACCACGCATTTGCTCAAGCCTTGAAACGTATCTATTGAAAGACACCGATCCTTAAAACTTCTCAATGACTCGTAAGTTCTATGTCTTGTAAATTCTTCATCGAAATTAGCTAATTTCAATTTCGCTGTAACATAAATGATCAGCTCGACAATAAATCATCGTCGTCGTGCGTGTGAACCAACATGCAGGTATTGACATAGGGCAAGGTAGGGGGGTGAACAGTGGAGGCGTTAAGGGTTTTTACTGTCTCGGTTAGGGTAATTAGATGATGGCTTGTCGTTTGCGGTATTCCACGACGCGAATTTGTTTTCAGTGATGTGCAGTTTTTCCCCAGTCGGTGCGGAGGCGATTTCGCCTTACCCAGACTTGATTTGACCTGACCAGCACGTACGAGGGTGTGCCCAGCAGGTTTAATTTAATGCAGGGCTCAGAGTTATAATCGTGTGAGGTATATAGTTTTTACTCTCCCATTCTCTGTACCACTGATCATAATCCAGGTCTGCGTAAGAGGCGTGCTGATCTCAAACTCAGTGGGGGTATACAGGGAAGTGCTTATTAATCTTTAATCTTTAATCTTTCTAGAATATCACATTAAATAGTAAATACTAAATACTAATTTACAATGTGAATTACATTTAAACTGTATAAAAAAATAAGACTGCAGTGTCTATTTAATCGACTCTGTTGAAAGCCGTTACTCGTTGGGTTAAAATCGCCCGAAACAATGAAAGCTGAGTTAGGACTTTCAGTACAGAGTTTGTCATAACAATTATAAAAGTAATCATAAAAACTGTTGCGTGTTAGCTGTGCTATAAGGTTTGTAGCGTCCTGGTTTGGTACCAGCCCGGCGTACGAGATTTCTCTGCGAGTTTGAGAATCAAATGGTTCCTTCGCATGTGAGCAGGAGGAATGCTTGCTACGACGCGTAACATGTCAGAAAAGGTAGGGATCATGAATCCAGATTCCAAAGATAACTCACAGGGCGTAATTAATCACAACTTCGACACCTCAGGTGTGACAGTGTGGGACCCAACATAGACAGCATCTTCTGCAGAAGATTAAACCAAGGCGAGGGTCAATGTGGAAGTGTGGGAAAATTAGCACCCCAAAGAAGGCTGGAAAACGTCTCGATCAGATTAACCCAGTTAATTAGACGACTTTTCCACGACAACCTGTAGGTTGGGTACCGAAGATAAGGTTGCGATCGAGAGTGACACCGAGGTACACAGGTTGTTGGCGAGGTGGTGTACAGAACAGGCAGTCTTTGCTTCACTGAGTTTTAGGAGATGTCCTTCCCTTGGGGGATGGGGAAGCCACTACACGCAGAAGCTGCAATATTGAAAACCTCTCAGAGGACGAGTGCATGCGGTGGTCTGTTATAAAGACTTTGGAGAACAAAATTAAATCACTACTGACATATTTAGTTTACTCTTTATTAAAACTTTAACAACAATAATGAACTAGAATACTTAGAATATTTTGATGCATCTACGTTTGTGTCTTTACGTTTTCCAAATATCCTTCACTGTGCGACATCCTTCCTTAATCTAACAATGAATAAAATTTCTGTTATGATCAATACAAACTGACTAAATGAATTGCACAATTAAATAACAAATTAAACATCGTGATTACCTCGCGCGGTTGCAGTGTTTGCATGGGTGGTTTTCAGTTCATGAAATTTCGAGTGCTTTATTCAAACCCTTAATACATAGGCGGAATATGGGGGGGGGGGGGGCGCTAGAGGTGCTTATCCCCACAATAATAAAAAAGAAAACCGATACGTGCATTAAAAATATCAATGTCTGGTTCGCTGAAGTAAAAATCCAACTTGAGAGAACATTATGTTTGTTGACAAGACCAGTGTTAATGGATTTTTATTATTTTGTCTTAGCCACGGTGTAACATTCCAAACAGTTGTTATATACACAGGGGCGCCGGAAAGTCGATAATTGGGGGGAGATATTCATATACTCATGTTCTGCATCATTTATTTCCTTTGAATGTGATTGTTTTTACAGTCTGTGAACATGAATATATGAGTTGAAAGCGAGTAAGGGAGTATACAACACCATCGACATGATTTCAGGACTGTTTTTCAATTCGTGCTGTGGGTCAGCCACTCAGTACACATCATTCTCATCAGTCGTAACACAGAGGATATAAACTCTGGCATAATAATGACATGACCAAAAGTGGCCCTTGCAGCCACTTTTGGTCATGTCATTATTATGCCAGAGTTTATATCCTCTGTGTTACGACTGACGAGAATGATGTGTACTGAGTGGCTGACCCACAGCACGAATTGAAAAACAGTCCTGAAATCATCTCTATCTCATCGTCTACCTCATGCACAGTATATAGATGAAAATGAAAATTACTTACCACATTCGCCATCATAATCAAATACAATTGCACCACTACTTTTACAGTTGGCAATCTCCAAGGAACACAAATTTGAATACGTTTCGCCATTTGTAGCACATAGTGGTTTATAAATATAAGGACATACCTTCACGCAACCTGCAATGTTTAATAATTCTAGTTTTATTGTGTTCATGCGCAGTTACGTCATTCATTTAGGTGTTTCAATCAAATCTCACAAGATCAAGATTTGAAGGTCTTCAAATAGAGAGTTGATGAGCTTTTCCATTAGGGGGTGCATTACTTTCTTATACTTTTTCTTAGACCACTTACCACATGCTCGTTTACACTCTGCTTCATTTCTGAAATTGTTTCTGTTCCCACCGCAGCCTCCATATGTAAATATAAGACACCTTTCTTGCTGGGCATTGTAATAATATCGTGGAAAGCCAGCACGACATGATCCTACTCTACCTGGTAGCAAGCAGATATCAGAGTCTGGGATCCATCTTGCTTCATTAATAACTATAAAAGGAGATGAATGCTTGATGAATAGTGACTTTGTACGCTGAAGTTCACGTAATATTTCAAATCCAACCATGAGGACAGGACTAGATTTCAAGCCTGCGCAATTTGATCAAGTCCAAGGCGAAGCCGAGGACTGGATCAAAATAAGAGGACTTGAAATCTAGTCCTGTCCGAGTTGGAGGATTTGAAATGACATCTCATACGAATAAATCACTACTTAAGCCCCGTTTACACTACACTCATTTTTGGCACGGCACTCTTAAATATTGGCACGCGGACCATTTTCTTGAAAAATCAGCATCGTTTACACTACAAATTTTGGCGGGCCATCAAGATGCACTAGCACCCCTACTCTTGAATACGGCCCGCTTAAATACTGCGCCATTAAATCAAACTTTTAAAAAATGGAGGATGTAAAAACAGCAAATTCGGCACTTGTTTGGTATTTTTATGTGACAAAACGGAGACGGAGAAAAAAAATTTGGGCGGCCATCCCCCCCCCCCCTGGCGCCGCCACTGCTTTTTATGTTGTGAAGCGCTATTCTACGTACACGCGGTTATCTTTAAATTTTGCCAAGTGTAACACACTTGGCAAAATTTAAAGATAACCGCGTGTACGTAGAATAGCGCTTCACAACATAAATAGCAGTGGCAGCGCCAGGGGGAGGATACCCCCCTAATTTTTTTGGCCCCCCAAATTTTATTTGCCCCCAATTTCCCCCCCCCCCCTCCCCCTCAAAAAAATTATTAGTCACTGAGAGCAACTAAAGGCTACACAAGCGTTTTGTCGTCATCGGAAAATGTATGGCTTATAAGTTGTCTTTCATTAGTGAATGCGCGTGTACGTGAAACTGTCTTTTACAGTTTCAATATTAGTTTCTAAATCTCTGAATGGTAAAACTTGCCAATACTCCAATAATACGTTTCAAAAAAGACAAAAAAGCTTTAGATTTGCAAAGTTAAATTCAGTCTCAAACGTGTCTTTGCCCACACAGACCGGACGCGATTCGGCAACGCGACGCGAATTTTCAGTTTTCGAAAACAAATAAAACCGTCAACGGATAAAAATTTTACAAGGTATGCAGACCAAATAGCTAAAATTGCTAACTGGTCCCGAATATTTGAAAAACAATGAAAAATATTAAAGTTAAATATCATTGAAAACTGAAAATTCGCGTCGCGTTGCCAAATAGCGTCCGGTCTGTATGGACCTTAAGGCACTAATAAGATGAAAGTATCACGAAATTATTTGAATAAACCACATCGCATATATGGGGGGGGGGGCGCATATCCTAAAGGGGGAGGGGGCGATATTCCTGGGGCATTCGCCCCTCTGGGGGGGGGCGATATTCCTAGGATATTCGTCCCCCGGGGGCGGTGTTCCTAGGAATATCGCCCCTTTTGAGAGGGAAGCGAATCTCCAGGGGAGGGGGGAGGGGGGCAAAAGTCCTGTGACAACGGCATGGGGAAATAGCAGTACCTTTTTAAAAATTCTATCTTGCCCCCAAAAATATGAGTTTGACCCTCAAATGCCCCCCCCCCCCCAAATTCTGAGGCCTGGCGCCGCCACTGATAAAAAGAAAAGGTAAAAAAGAATTTACTGCAACTGTACTAGCTTTTTTTCATCGCCAAAGAACTAGAATACTGTGGATGCACCCACGAACACAGATCTGGTTTGAGATGGTGGACGATACCTACAACGGCTAGCTATGGTATGCTAACTTCAAAGTTATGAAAGAAACGTTTACATTTATTCTCAGAAGGGTTGAGCCCGAAATAGCTCATGAAAATACACATCTTCGAGAAGCAGTTTCAACGAATCGACGGCTGGCAGTTACATTATATTATCTAGCATCCACGGCTGAATATACCGCACAATTAGCAACTTATTCGGAGTTTCACGGTCGTTTGTGTGCCGGTGCATTCAAGAAGTATGTCATGCAATAGCAAAGCAGTTTCCAAATCATCAAATGCTATCAGATTCCCTAAGGGTGATGACCTTTTGCGAGTCATACGAGGTTATGAAGAGACATGGAGCTTTCCCATGTGTGCGGGCGCAGTAGATGGAACTCACATACCGATACTGGCACCTAACAAAAATCACACAGATCATGTCAACCGTGAGGGGTTTCATAGCGTCCTTGTGCAGGCTGTGGTAGATTGTAATTATATATTCAGGGTCGTAGTTATCGGTTGGCCAGGAAGCGTACATGATGCGCGGGTTTTCTCCAACTCAGCCATTTTTGAAAAAGGAAGGGATAATTGTCTTTTCCCAGATGACCTCAATAGGGAAATATGTGGGATGGAGATGCTACCGGTAATTCTTGCGGACTCAGCCTATCCGCTGTAATCATGGTGTTAAAGGGCTACCCTAGAAACGAGGTACCAAGAAGTCAACGTGTTTTTAACTATCGTCTTAGTCATGCACGAATGACGGTAGAAAACACCTTTGGTAGGTGAAAAGGAAGATACATCAGATTCAAAAAGCGGGTGGACATGGATGTAAGTACTCTGGCACATATTGTACAGGCCTCCTGCGTGTTACATAACATATGCGAAGCTCTTAAAAATGAATTTCTTCCTGACTGGCCTGACGCTGAAGTACTTATTGAGGAACCAATACTTCCAATTGATGAAACGCCAGCACCAGACGCAGAGCTAATCCGTTATGTCTTAGCTGAATATTTCACCAGTTAGACATAAGTACAGTTTTAGGGACGGAAGTAGTGCATGCAGTATATTTCAAAGCTGAGTTTAATGACCATACAAACAGGGGCGGCGGAACAGGGGGCGCTAGGGGGGCTAAAGCCCCCCCCCAGAAGTAAAAGTGGGGGGGCTTACCCCCCCCCGGAAAATTTGAATTTTTTGAAAAATTTTGATAATTAGGGAAAAATTTAGGTTATTTTTTGAAAATTTAGGTATAAGGGGACAAATTTGCAATATTTTGTTTAAAAAAAGTGTATTTCCGAAAAATTGTTTTGATATAAGTCCGAAAAAATTTTTTTCGTCCCTTTTTTTGTATATTGTACCCCTAAAGTGGTACATACACTGACCGAAGGGGGGGGGGGAGTTCGCCGGAAAAATTTAGCCCCCCCCAGAACGAAATCTGTTCCGCCGCCGCTGCATACAATATAACATTATTCCGAATGATTATACACTCAAACCTCTGGGTGTAATATAATTTAGTTACCCTCACTTGTGGTTCATGAATATGGGATATAGAGGTGCCTTGAATTGGATAAATTCAGGGCTGACTTTTATCTAATTATCAGCACTCTATATAGAGCACAATTAAGTGTAAGTAGGGTTTGTTTTTGACGCCATTTTGTTTCTTTTTCAAGGAATACGCATGCGTAATTAGTTTTAGGGCCGCGTGCTATATTTTAAGCGGGCCGAGACTACCTCCTTGAAGACTAGCCCCGTTTACACGACAAGCGTTTTGGGTACGGCACTCTTAAATTTAGGCAGGCGGACCTATAAATTTCGGCACGGCACTCTTAATTTTTGTCGTGTAAACGGTGACAAGATAGGTCCGCGTGCCCAAAATTTTTGGCGGGGCGAGACCATCTCCAGAGGTAGTCTCGGCCCGCCAAAAAAGCAGCACGCGGACCCAAAATTAATTACGCATGCGCTATTGGCTTTTGCTTCGAAGTAACTATACAATATCAATATGGCGTCTGCTGAAAAGAAAACGAGAGGCACGTTATGGCCTGACAATGCGACAAAATGCCTAATACAGTTGTGGTCGGAGGAGACAATACAGGTTTCTTTAGATTCCTGTAAAACATCTCGTCAAACTTCCAGTGTTTACCAAATATTACTGGTGAGTATTCATGAAAATTGTGAATATTTAAAGTTTTATATCTATTCATTGTTACCTAACCTAATATACGATGGCCGAGGAGGGCCACTTCTGACTTCCGAGTTCCGACTTCCGAGTTCCGACTTCTGACTTCTGACTTCTGACTTCTGACTTCCGACTTCTGACTTCTGACTTCTGACTTCTGACTTCTGACTTCTGACTTCTGACTTCTGACTTCCGACTTCTGACTTCTGACTTCCGACTTCTGACTTCTGACTTCTGACTTCCGACTTCTGAGTTCCGACTTCTGACTTCTTCTGCCTTTCCAGCTAAACACGGCAAATCCAAACCGATTGCTTCGATTCTGCATTAATTTTGCTGATAACGTCTAAATATATCATAATTTTCTTATCCAGAATTTCCGAATTCGTTATTTTATTTCATATTTTCAATTTTATGTTGCCGTGTTTCCAACAGTATTATCATTCTTTGCTAGCAATACTTATTTTTGATATCGTATGTATTTTAGTAGAAAAAAACTATGTATGTTCAACGGGATGTTCTTTATCAAAGTTAGCCGTAGGGGACATTTAAAAATAAATTAAAATTTAATTTAACATTTACATCACTTTTTCCAAAATTTAGCTCAAGAACTTTACAAAATATCATCCAGAAAAAAACAATCACCAATATAATCATATGGATAAGAAATTTATCTATTTTGGCGATAAAATTAACCTCACATATCTGAATTTATCAAATTGATATTGTCAATTGACAAAATTTTCATTATCCACCACGGTAGAACCCCGGTTACCCCGCCATTTCAAACTTAAATTAGTTGGCTAAGTTTCATGAGTCAAGCCTCAAAGGAAAAAATAATTAGTTCGAAAAAGCAACGAGTTCGAGTTATATGAGTTCAAAATAATGGAGTAAAAGAAGTCCGAACTCAGAAGTCGGAAGTCAGAAGTCAGAAGTCGGAAGTCAGAAGTCAGAAGTCGGAAGTCAGAAGTCAGAAGTCGGAAGTCAGAAGTCGGAAGTCAGAAGTCAGAAGTCAGAAGTCGGAAGTCAGAAGTCAGAAGTCGGAAGTCAGAAGTCAGAAGTCAGAAGTCGGAAGTCAGAAGTCGGAAGTCAGAAGTCGGAAGTCAGAAGTCGGAAGTCGGAAGTCAGAAGTCAGAAGTCGGAAGTCGGAAGTCAGAAGTCAGAAGTCGGAAGTCAGAAGTCAGAAGTCAGAAGTCGGAAGTCGGAAGTCAGAAGTCGGAAGTCAGAAGTCAGAAGTCAGAAGTCGGAAGTCAGAAGTCAGAAGTCGGAAGTCAGAAGTCAGAAGTCGGAAGTCGGAAGTCAGAAGTCAGAAGTCGGAAGTCGGAAGTCAAAAGTCAGAAGTCGGAAGTCAGAAGTCAGAAGTCGGAAGTCAGAAGTCAGAAGTCAGAAGTCGGAACTCAGAAGTCGGAAGTCAGAAGTCGGAACTCAGAAGTCAGAAGTCGGAACTCAGAAGTCGGAAGTCAGAAGTCAGAAGTCGGAAGTCGGAAGTCAGACGTGGCCCTCCTCGGCCATCGTACTTCTCTGCCTGGCAGTTAAAAACTACTTACAAGTTTGAGTGATGAGTACGTCCGACGATCTCCGAAAGGCCTCCGAAGTTTCTACTCTTGTGCAAACGAGTGAGATCGATCATAGAAATTATTATCGCGTATTATGTCCATTATCACTATTATAAAATAGATCGGAATAAACAAATCAAAATCACAGTTCACGAAACAGACATCCTTAATTCCCATTTCACGGAACATTTTATCGACAATCACGCCTCACGGCTGTAGAACAAATCACAGATCATGACAGTAAAATCAAGCATTTCACACGATCAAATATTGACCATTCACGCAGTGGCGTAGACAGGGGGGGGGGCTCAGCCCCGCCCCAATAGGCTGATGGACTGCCCTTGTAAAAAGATGAAATCCGGGTAGAAATTAGGGGGGGGGGGGACGATGACTACCCATGTGACTACCAATCTCATCTGTTCACCAAATTGTCTATAAAAGTTCTAATCTTTCCTAAATCTAACTACAGAAAATAATGCCTATGGTGGTTATTGGTTAAAATGCGTTTTTAAAACTTCGATTTAACTATTTACACGCGACCAAGTAAGCTTCGTTGAGTCAAATTAAGGATCCACATTATTGAGAAATCATTAAAAATCAGGTCTTTCCTGCAGTAAATAATCTTCAGAATTATACAAAATCTCTCCCCAGAAACACGGGAAATCGTCATTGAGGGACTCCAGATTTCAAACGGACCCCCGGACCCCCCTAAAAAGGCTTACGCCTTCGCCGTTCGATATATGTCCTCCCAAAAATTATAGTTTGGCTACGCCACTGCATTCACGGGTCACAAAAATACCCTTTCCCACCCGGCTCATTAATATCGCTCTCTGACTCTGAATAAAAATCGCAGTTTATAATACGTATTGGGAACACTGATACGATTGGGAACCGTAGAATTTGTATATAGATGCCATTACGCCAATGCAAAATGGGTTACACACTTTAATACACTTGATCCAATTTTGATTGGGGCTATGGTCTACATTTCGTAGACCATAGCCCCGTATAAAATGGGCCAAGTATAAAATTGGCCAAGTATAAAATGGGCTGTGATAGTTATATCATAGAATAGGAAGGTATACCAGAAGTCTCACTCAAGCAAGTATTTGTCCGCGTTTTTACAAGCGATTCGTCCGATCATCAATCACGCCATCCTGGCTAGTACAACCGGCACTTTGTACCTATCAAAACTTGATAAAAACTTCCGGCTGTACTAGCCAGGATGGCGTGAGCGAGTTAAAATTTTCGTGGGTTACACTTCTACTATACTTTCCTATTTTGTGGTTATATGCTGTATATTCAAATACATTCTTCAACCGGAATATACCATACGTGGTTATTATTGTATTAACGCTATAGTAAAAATTTAAAAAAAATATCGTGCACGCGGCAAGATTCGATAAAAAAAATCGTGCCGAGTCGGTGAGGTCCAAAAAAAAATCGAGCACTCTCAAAAATGCGCCCCTCCCCCATGAAAAATCAAATGGTCCGTCCCTTAGATACACTATATTAGATACAGTATATTAGATACAGTATATTAGATACAGTATATTAGATACAGTATATTAGATACAGTATATTAGATACTGTATATTAGATACAGTATATTAGATACAGTATATTAGATACAGTATATTAGATACAGTATATTAGATACAGTATATTAGATACAGTATATTAGATACAGTATATTAGATACTGTATATTAGATACAGTATATTAGAGTGTGTTTCACGGAATGTCATGGGAAAAAGATAGAGCAGTCTTCTCTATTTTGGAGGGAAAACTTTGAGCTTAAGTGAAACATATATATAGACAGTGACTTTAGTGAGTTGTTCATTATATACTAGAAGCTGCTGCCCTGTTCAGAACATGATCTAGCTATATAAACCTTTTAGAGTAGAGTCACACAAAAAATCTTTGGATCAGTTGGCTTCGCGCAAATATATACTTGATCATTTTATTAAATAGATTCATTTTGTTGCCGATATGGTTATTTCCCGATATGATTATTTCCCACTTCTTCAATGATTTGAACGATTTTCGAGAAAGTGCCATTACAATGACTAACATAATGATTAATGATGCCTTTCATTCTGGTAAAATATTTACATGAAATTCTGTATAGGTTCTTTAAATAAGCCGGAATCAGAATTCAGAATTGCTTAAGTCGTATCTCATGGCTCTAATCAGCTCCACTCTAAAAAAGTCGGGTATAATACAAATACACTTATAACTATGATTAGCACCTTTCTCAAATTTCCAACGGGATTAATATTAATTTCCACGATGTTTCACATGAAACGTCACAGCCTTTTGCTCGACCCATCAAAAACGATTTTCAGTTGAGTGTGGAAGGCAGATTCACTCCTGAAAATGAACTAACATTGAACTAATTCCTATCTAGCAGAAATTATTTTATTAATGTTTGAAACATGCAGTTCGAGAAATATACTAGTTCAGGGTTTTGGACATTCAAGATATAACTAGAATTATTGAAGGAATTTGTAGATGGAAGTTTCGAATGGAATTTTTGTACAAGTAACTGCTTCTGGACAGTTCTGGTTCTAATAAATGTTTAAAAATTCAGGTGTAGTAAATGTATAAAAATTCAGGTGTAGTAAATGTATAAAAATTCAGGTGTAGTAAATGTATAAAAATTCAGGTGTAGTAAATGTATAAAAATTCAGGTGTCGGTTGTTCAAAGCTAGGTTATAGCTTAATTTAACCCTAGGTTAACCTAAAATTCAAAGCAAACTTCCTGACAGCTTGTCTATAAATTTGGAAATATTTCTTGAGCGATCATGTCTGGATTGATAGGACTTTTCTTCTCTGAAGTTTTGAAATAAACAGACATGTAGAAATACACAAACTAAAACAGCAGGTTAAATTTGAACCCAGGGTTAGCGCTAACCCAGCTTTGAACAACCAGCTCCAGGTCTATAGTAAATGAATAAAATTCCACTTGAAATCTCCATGTACGAATCCCTTACTAGTTCATGCCGAGGTTCGTTCATGCATTTAATAAAATTTAGCGGCCAGTTTTGTCTTGAATACCGACGCTGACATACTCTGACATTCTTCATAAGATAAATTTACACTAAAACTTGTCAAGCTGATTATGTCACGACTTAAGTTGAACAGCACTTTCCACAGCATAAATTAAAGATAATACTTGAGTCGTTAGATATAAGACCGCGTTCTTTCTCACACTTAAGAAGCTATTAAATTGTTATATTAATTGTGTATATATGCATGATGACGCATTTGTTAAGCAGATGAAAAGCATTTAGAGTGGATATAGTACGTAGGTTTAGCGTTAGCGGCATTAAAAGCCCTTCAACACTGGCTTCCCACGCGCTGCCTGGTGATATTCAAATAATAGGATTTGGATCTCACTCCATACAACTAATTGTTGAAGCGAATTTCGTTTTATGTACTATTTAAAGCACGCGTAGGAGTGTTTTATCACATATAAAACGCGAGACGCAGCCGAGCGTTTTATATGTGATAAAACACGACTACAAGTGCTTTAAATGGCTTAAAAAACGACTCATCTTTAATATACGAGTTCATTGGCGAAGTAATTTTTAAAATAAACTTTGTCTAAACCGAGAAAATCAAAGCTAAAGTTTATGTAAATTAACATGATTTTTTATCACATATAAAACCACGACACGCTTATGATTTTTCTTTGTGTTTTCTCCTGAATTATTAATGAGTTTTTTAAATTTTATTTAGCCGTACACCTTACAAGAGGGTCTAGATGGGAGTCTGAAAATCAGTAAACGGTAAAACTGTTGGTATTTTAACGGTAATAACATTTTGGTATTTTAACGGTAAATCTGTGAAAAGTGTTCTGAAACGATAAACAGTATTTTTCCCCTCACGATTCACGCTAAATTTTTAGTGTTTTCACGACTGACGGTAAACGAAATTGAGTAAATCACGATCAACACCCTCTTACAATGGATGATGCATCAACTTAGTATTTATACATGAACTTGTGGTTGGAGCTTGATAACTGGACTCTGTAGCTCAGTTGGTTAGAGCGCTGTACTGGGAATCACAGGGTCGACTCCTGTCAGAGAGTCTATAGTTGTGGTTGGAGCTTGATAACTGGACTCTGTAGCTCAGTTGGTTAGAGCGCCGCACTGGGAATCACAGGGTCGACTCCTGTCAGAGAGTCTATAGTTGTGGTTAGAGCTTGATAACTGGACTCTGTAGCTCAGTTGGTTAGAGCGCTGCACTGGGAATCACAGGGTCGACTCCTGTCAGAGAGTCTATAGTTGTGGTTACAGCTTGATAACTGGACTCTGTAGCTCAGTTGGTTAGAGCGCTGCACTGGGAATCACAGGGTTCGACTCCTGCTCGACTCCTGTCAGAGAGTCTATAGTTGTGGTTGGAGCTTGACGTAGGTTCAATTCCTACCAGAGGACCTTGTGCTGCATTTTTCGTAGTTGTTCCTGGTTAGGTCTTAGGTCTGGATATATTCTCACTTGGATTACAAACCCTAACATTCTAATGTAGGAAGAGTAATTGAATGCGTAATTAGTTCATTGGATAATTTCTGCTGAGTGACCTTGCCTTCGCTGGCGGAGGTGTACGTACCAAAATTTCCCCGTGATACTGATAGGACTTTCTGAAAAATCTCTTTTGTCTAGAACATCCTTCCACGGAAATGAGAATATATCAGATATGACGTCATCAACCATGAACGCTTGTGAAATCTGTGGTGTGGTTGTGCGCAGGCGAAGACTGCTGACCTTAATTCACCGTGGCTTCAAGCGGCTAAGCGGAGTACATATGGTGAACTGGGTACGACTAGGGTCAGTATTCAAGTATTATTGTGCCGGGTTACGCTATTGGAATTTTTTTATAAAGGCCGTCCGCTGCAGTGTGTGGTAATAATTTGGCTTAGTATAGACATTGTGTTCTCTTTGAGTAGTGCATCATCAGTGTAATATGTAATACCGCATGTCACCAAAATATAAACTGGTGGTGTCGTGGTTACCACGCTTGCCTTTCAAGCTGGGAGACCCCGGGTTCAATCCTTGCTCGGACCTCTACTCAAGGTCTTAAAATACTTGAGGAGAAAGTGCTACCTTTACATTGATATCAGTAAATGGTTAAACATTCGCATCTTCTCGGATAAGGACGTTAAATCGTAAATACCTCGGATCCCCTATCAATTGGGCAATAGCCATTCTCGTACCCAGACCCCTTCTTACGCGCGGTGCGACGAGGGGCTCTGGCCAAATCCAAAACCGGATACCATAAAAACATGATAAAAGAATATATCCGGCATTAGAACAATAACCTTCGTTGTAGCCAATCAGATGCCAGTTTGATATGGATTTGGCCAGAGCCCCTCGTCGCACCGCGCGTAAGAAGGGCTCTGGGTACGAGAATGGCTATTGCCCAATTGATAGGGGATAAGGCAATAGCCTGTTGGGAAATCCGCTCACCAATGAGTGAGAAACTAAACTCGTTCCCATACCCTATATCAGACCTGGCTCACCAAATTTCAGAACAAAAATCAAAAACATACTTTTCAGACCCAAACTGTGAAATCTATTTATCAATCATCCCCTCCTCATCAGGGCGGCACATACACCGTGTGCGAATCATTATGTTGTCTCTAGAATGACATGTAACGACTCGAGGTTCGTAATACGATCAAGGTTCGTAATACGATCAAGGTATTAAGGTATTTTGCCAATGCAAACATGACTTTTAAAGTTTAATTTTGTAATCTGTGTAAGTAAACAAAACCTCCTTGTAGGTGTGAAAGTGGTTATTAAAAGTATATAATATCATTTTTTTCCAGATCAGTTGTAAAGAGCATTGCACTAAATCTGAGACATCTAGCCGGATAGGAGCCTTGATTAATCGGGTAAGTGAAAATTGTTAAAAAATTAACTTGAATTAAATATTCTGCCCAGACCTTGCTACGCCAGTATTTAGAAGCCAAGTCACAAGTTTCCTTTCATGCTGGGCAAATATCACGATTTTATTGGCATCTCAAATGTTTGAATAATAGTCGAAGGGTCATTGTATGGGGTCGGTTGTTGGAACGTCGGGTAGTGGTTTTTTCAAGCGTTGTGAAAATGTTTCAGAAGTGATAAAACTATACGAATATGGATTCTACAATTAAAGGCCCATACAGACCGGACGCGATTTGGCAACGCGAATTTCTAGTTTTCAATGGCATTTAACTTTAATATTTTTGAATGTTTTTGAAATAGTCGGAACCACTGGAGCAATTTTAGCTATTTGGTCTGCATATCTTGTAAAATTTTCATTCGTTGACGGTTTATTTGTTTTTGAAAACTGAAAATTCGCGTCGCGTTGCCGAATCGCGTCCGGTGTGTGTGTGCCTTAATTAACAAAGGAAATTTTTTATACTAAAGTTTAATCTGGGAAATGTGTATTAGCACTGGTGGTCAAACGCCAAACCTTATTATTAAAAGACTCACCAGGCAAGGGACTTGCATTAATGTATTACTGCTATGTAGAGTCGACATCTAAGTTCTAAGAAATCAGACTTGCCATATATCGCGCATTTGGACGTGGCGCATTTAAACTTTGGCCACGCAGGCTCGCATTTAAAGTCACGCCTGTCGACAAATTTTAATTCATTAGTGGAAGGTCACGTTAGGTGGCGAGTCACGTTTTGTGAAACTCCAGCGCATATTTTAGCCTAATTTAACATTTTCCAGGTCTGCTAATATGGGTGTTGAAAACGGTCTGTGGTATAGGGCCTATAATGAGTAGTACATGCCAATTCAGATGGATATTGACAGATTTTTCAAGCTTTCTTAAATTGGCTATCGACTGCTATACACCACATTTCTATGGGTTTGAATAGCATGAACAGCTGCTATGTTTGCACTGTTTGATCTCTAATCCTCTTGTAATAAAGATAGAGAAAATACACTCGTGGTTCTCTTGACAATCACTGATGTAACTAACAAAAGCATGCACTCGATGACTACAACAAGCAGCAGACGTTTCAAGCGAAGGCCCTTCGCTTTCTTACCACAATGCTTTGAAAAAAATTATTGTAAATTTAATTATTGCTTTTGTATAAATAGTGGTGAAATAAATTATTGAAGTATGAAGTAAAGTTTGTCCTGATATTCCCACAATTCTTGCGCGCTTAACAATAGAATCATATAGTTCATTTGCATTCATTTGAAAGTCAATTTCAGTTTGTTTGTCCGAAGTTTGTGTTATAAATTACAATCTTAATCTATGCTGTGTGTGATTTAATATGTATTTGTTGCGAATATAATTTAGAAAGATCTCAACTTTCACATGCGTTTACTCACGTATGAAAACTGCCTGGAATGAAGCCAGGGTGACGCAACAACACAAAATGCGGCACACACTGCCTGATGTGCGCAACACAAGGTGGTCTAATTGCAGTACAAGATATCGATGATAATATTATTCTGTTTTAGGATAATCGGATAATGGATGACCACAACGGCAATGTGATTGCGAATAAAACAGCAGCACCATTGCAAGATCCCAGCTCACAAAAATCACATCCTAGCTCACAAAAATCACATCCTAGCTCAGCAGATGTTGCTTCGAAGCAAGATTTGGCATATGGATGGGGAAAGATTCGACCAATATGTCTCAAGTTTTTAAGCTGTCCTGTCTGGTTCATCGCCGTATTCAGTGTTTATGCCTTGCTCCAAGGTTCGTATTCATGAAAATGTTCGAAGAACTGTACGAGATTTTATGTCCAAAGCAGCTTGTGCTAACTGCAAGACTTACCATTAGCATTTCTTTAGCGCGCATTTACATCTTCATATGATCAAATGCGCTTTACACCAAATGTTATACGCTTACCTAACTACATACTTAGCCTAGACTATTTTCTATCTTTACAACAATTGTGATGTTAATTTTCTACATGTGTTTATCCTAACCCACTAGAGATAGTTATCCCTGCGGGGGGGAAACCGGAGCACCCGGAGAAATCCCACGACTTTCGGCAGAGCGTTGACTGACTCTTTTCACATTAGCCTGCGAACAGGCTCTCAAGCTGAATTGAGAGCCTGCATCGATGACTAATGAATTTGAATATCTGCGTCTCAAATCATGACGCGAAATTCTCATTGGTCAGATGCTATAATTTATATGTTTCCGCTGAGCTCTATATATGTCAACTGCTGAAAAGCACTATGCATAAAAAACACTGATTAACTGATCAAATTGGTCTTGGACGTCTTATCTCAAAGCACGAAATGTTCTGTTCTGAGAAAACAGTATTTAAAACATTTGAACTTTTGCTTGAATATCTTATATTTCGAAAAACAGTATAAACTGCACGGTCTAAATTTAGTTTGCACGGTCTAAATTTAGTTTGCACGAAAGTTGTAAACAACACCATATAAGGATAGACATTCCATATTTGGAAAAACGAACGTTACGGGGCAGATATTCAAATTTATTAGTCATCGATGCAGGCTCTCAATTCAGCTTGAGAGCCTGTTCGCAGGCTATTTTCACATCTACTTCTTCCGTCCAGTTGTGAGAATATGACATGTGAACAGCAGGGGTGTTTTGAGATATCGGCCGGCATATCGGCCGCGGTCCTACGATTCCGGTGCAGCGCTCTAATTCCGGTGCAGCGCTCTAACCAACTGAACTACTGTACAGGCAGTTGTCCAGCTCAAACCACAATTTCGTTTAAACTTGTGGTTAGTGCTGGACAACTATCTCTCTGAGGTACTCATCCGTGCAAATCTAGATTGAAATACTTGGACAATGTTGTTTAGGTATAGCATCCTGGGGTTTGCCAAGTCTTGTCTTGCCGAGTATTGAGCGAAGATTTGGTTTCTCAACTAAAGAACTTGGAGTGATTGCTGCGTCAAATGACGTCGCAGCGTTGATACTTGTTGTGTTTATCAGTTACTATGGTGACTATAGCAACAAGATGAAGTGGATTGCCGGAGGGGCTACAATAACTGGTAAGTCGATTAAATAAATATTCCAGCACATCTCTCGCTCCATCTCCCTGACTACACGCGTAAAAACGCTCAGGTTGACGCAATACTGATGAAAACAGGATTGAACAATGTTTTGCTGCCCACATTGTTCATAGCTGTCAACAAAATATTGAACAATATTGTTACACCCGAAGTGTGAACAACGTGGGCAGCAAAACATTGTTCAGTCCTGTTGAGCAGCGGGCTCGGCGTTTTTGCCGTGTAGTGAATAAATATTGCATAATAAATAAATATTCACGCCCAAAGTTATTGGGCGTGAATTTGTAATGACATGGACGAGTTGAGGTTTTTGTTTGTATTGATAGGTATCGGTATTATTGTCTTCGCCTTACCTCACTTTATGATTGGTCGATATCATCCGGGTAATAAACATTCTGACGCTCTTTGTAACCATGGGAATGGAACTCAATGTGCTGAGATGAATAGTGGAGGAGACTGGTATTACTTGACGATCTTTATTCTTGGCATGTTAATCATGGGCGCTGGAAGTGCTCCTTGCTTCTCGTTGTTCAGTGCATACTTGGATGAGAATGTCGAGCCGAAATCTTTCCCACTGTACTTGGGTGTTTTCACCATCATCCAGTTTATAGCACCTGGTATCGGATTCATCATCGGAGGAAAGTTTTTGAGCATTTACGTCGATATAAATCAGGTAGAAGTATTACGTATTACCTACTTAACCTTATAATAGTTTTGTTTGTGGAAACACCACGTAAATTTATTACTGCCGAAAGCCCACAAACAAAACTATTATATGTTTTATCGCCATGCAAACATACAAAGAACTTACTACTTAACCTTGTTTTCATTAGGCGGAATTTTGCGCGCGGAAATTTTCTTTGTCTTTTCTGATTAGTTCCACCCGAGAAATCACAACACAAAGAAAACGTCCGCTCCGCGCGGAAAATTCCGCCTAGTGGAAAACCGGCTTTAGCCTAAACTAATTATCTTTACCACACTTGTGATATTACTTTCTTAACTTAGGGCGCTTTCCATTAACACGGCCAGACCGGTCAGAACGATCAAATTGTTGAATGGAACACAAAAAGTTTGGGCTTCGGACCTCTCTGACCAGAACTTTTAGATAACGTTAGAATGAGGTCCATTTTCGCTAGATATTTGAGAAACATAGACCAGATCTTTCCGTTGACACAGAGAAAAGAACTTGGGTCTGACCGGTCAGGCCATTAAATGGAAAGCGCACTATGTTTATCCTAACCCAGGTGGAAAGCGGAGCGCCCGGAGAAAACCCACGACTTTCGGTAGAGGGTTGACTGACCCCTTTCGCACGAGTCTGTAGCGAGAATCAAACCCACGATCTCAGAGGTGACAGGCGCTTGTCCTGAAGACTGCGCCACTGAAACCGCTGACTCGTAAATATTGAAACAACAATAATTGTAATAATAATTGTCTTGTGCAAACATCCGACCTACCTCCCTAATTTTTATTTCGAAAAGACATAGTAATGTTGAACTGGCCAAAACATAGTTTAAAACTTTCGCTAAGCTGGATTACTAGGAGTTATCTTAGAATAAACAGACGTGCAGAAATACATAAACTAAAACAGCAGGTTAAATTATAACCCAGGGTTAGCGCTAATCCAACTTTGAACAACCGCGGCCGCTGGAGTTCGTGTGGATTCACGCTTGCGCGAGATCATGAGGACCGTTTCATATCCTGTCTCGTATAAACACGCGTGCTCGTCTTTTTTCAGCCTGATGGTTTCAATTTAACTCCTCAAGATCCTCGCTGGATTGGAGCCTGGTGGTTGGGATTTCTGATCTTTGGAATTCTTATCGTTCTCTTTTCATTTATCATGCTTGGCTTCCCCAGTGCAATGCCTGGCGCCAGACAAAGGCGCTTGAGACATATCCGTGAAGGGAATATTAAACCAAGCAATGATGTTCAACCATGTCTGAGAAAATTTCCATCTGAATTGAAAGAACTGCTAAAAAATTGGACGTTTTTATTCAACACATTGGGACTAACATGCTTTCTCTTTTATTTTGGATCAGTGGGAGTCTTTTTCTCCAAACTTTTGCGAGTGAAGTTTGGTCTGGATGCTGTGAAGGCCGGATATTTCTTTGCAATCATAAATATTTCGGGCGCAGTTGGTAAGTAGTCAATATTGATCATTTTGGTACACTAACATGCCTTTTATATTTTCGTATCATTTGGAGCTGTCTGTGCCATGCAGTGCAGGCAGTGCCAGTAATAACAAGCTTTCGTTGACAGGGCCTTCGCTCGAAACATCGAAATTCTCCTTATATTTTTTCAGGTAGTTCATCCCTATCAACGAAAGCTTGTTATGATTTGGAGCTCTATCGAAATAAACGAGGGGAAATTTGACGGCTATTTGATGCCGTGGATGCATGTTTTCATTCTATTCATTTCAAACTATTGTCTTCGCATGATTATACCTATATACGGCCATCCATGAATCCGATGTATGTCATATTTTGTTTCGAGTTCGGACCCTCACCCCACACCCTGACAGGGTCCCCACACCCTGACAGGATCCCCACACCCTGACAGGGTCCCCACACCCACATTCAACATCGCCATTTATTCAAGATGCCGATTTCATGACGTAGCCAATGTAGTAATCTTTCTAGTGAATCAAAACATGTCACGTGTTTTCGGGCGAGCGGGAAGATCCAGGGTTTTGGTAATAATAAGATTTTCACGTTCAACTAAATAAAATTTCACTTTTGCTGGTATATGTGTTTTGTTTTAGTTGGAAATATCGCTGGGTCAATAATTGTTCGAATGTTTTCATTAAAAACGGCGTGTAAGAAGGCCGCAGCAGCGTGTGCAATTGTGAGCCTGCTGACGACTGGAGGCCCGTTAATATTCTTGATTCCATCCTGCATCAATACCAATTTGGCTGGTGTGGCTATAGACTACAGCAAGTAAGTGACTTCACTCTGACGGATCTTTAACAATAGGCTGCGGATTGTGGGGATACAACTACCTGAAAAATACAAGGATAAATTGGTGATGCAGGAAGTTGTATCTCTGTCAATCCCTTATTATTGCCACTATCTATAGCAAAGACCGTTTAAGGTTATTTAGAATACTCATTAATAATTCATGATGAAAATTCAAAAGAAATCAATGTTTAATGAATGTTTGTAAATCGGATAAAGATTTGTCCTGATTTACATAAACTTCAGCTTTGATTTTCTCGACTTAGACAATGTTTATTTTTAAAATTACTTTGCCAATGAACTCATAAGATGGGTCGTTTTCTTAAGTGTGTTAAAACATTCGTATCCGATCTCTATCTCATGTTTTAACTAGTACTTTACCGAATTTAATTGCCTCATTGTTTTAGCCCGTACATGAATGGCACAGCCGGACTACTGACGTCTCGATGTAATGTGAACTGTGGTTGTTCCCTGACGTCTTTCTCTCCCGTGTGTGGGTCAGATAATGTGACATATTTTGATGCCTGTCATGCCGGGTGTAACATTCATCTTGATGACAAAGTAAGGAAAATGGAATGTAAAACTATCAAAACTTTGAAGATTAAAATCCAAATGATCTAATAATCGCAAGTTAAGGACAAATTGAGTTTTGGTTCAATACACTGTTTATGACACCCTTGACCTCGTTTCCTTGCGGTTATTTCCTGATGTTTCGTGCACAATAGATTTAAGGATAGGCTTGTGGGTGAGCTCAAGATCACAGAGAAACACAAGTTAATATATAATTCACTTCATTTGCTGTTCAAGGTATGAGTGCCCTTTACGTATTTTGTCACGTAAACCATCTCGAATAGTAGTTTTTTAAAGTAAGATATTCACTATAGAATTGGACGGATTTAAAATATTGAATCTTCTATGATCTCCTGGAAGAATATAGAAAATTCTTTGAAATGATAAATTTTTGTTTCAGGCATTTTCCAACTGTTCGTGCATAGCGGATGAAAGTGGTTCAGCCAAGCCAGGTTATTGTGATCGCCAATGCAAGAACCTTGTGATGTTCACAGTGATCGCTGTCTTATCAAGCATAATTCGCACTGCCGGCTCTAGTGTGCCGACAAGAACAGTTTTGTTAAGGTGAGATTGTTGTGCAACTGTTGCTTCACGGTTGTGTTGTTGCAGCAGACGTGTTAGTGAGCTTATAAGCAAGCGACGTTTTTCTCACCACAGATTACCGATGGAGCACTGGATTAAACACTGTGTTTGTGTCAGTTTCTGGCAATCTTCAACATATATGACAAAACAAAAGATTTTTAAAGTTTTTTGCTTCCTTGCACGAGCTATATCATGCAAAATAACGTCCGTGTTGACAAAACGACGCTTAGTTTAGCGTTCCTGCAGACATTTGAACTGATCACATGTAATAATAGATTATTCTTTGGTAAAAACCAACCTAAAATAACCATGTTTTGGGGTAGGCCTACTCCTACACAATCACCAGTGTTTGTTCTTTAGAAAATTTATTCTTGAATTAAGCTGTTAGAGTAGGCGAGAATCAGTAAGGCCAAAAAAAAATGTGGGTTTCCGGTTTCCCGACCCTACCTAACTTTTAGACGTCGAAATCCCGACCCTAAACTTTTTTATTGGATCATGCTTGTAAGTGTTTCGACTTAGAGGAAAAACTTTGTGGAAAATTGAAATTTGAGGCAATATTAGGGAAATTTATCTTTGGATGTGGAAGCACTGACTAAACAAAATGGCGTCAGGTTGTTCGGAAAATTAAAAAAAAAATTAAAAAAAAAAAGTTAAAACCGACCTACCCTACCTAAGTTTTTATAAGAGGAAACCGGAAGCCCACATATTTTTTTTTGGCCTAACTCGGGCAAGGGTGAATAGTTTTATTTTTTGTCAAGGTGTGTCCCCGACAACAAACGTGCATTTGCTTCGGGAGTTTGGTTTGTAACATTTAAAACATTTGGTCTGTTACCTTCACCTGTCGTATTTGGTCACATCGTGGATAAATCATGTAGACTATGGCAAAATATCTGTGGCAGGCGAGGAAGATGCTTTGATTATGATGTCACTTCCCTGAGTCGAAATATTGCTTATTACGGTCTTGCTTGGTCAGGTTAGTGTGCTTGTCTACCCTTGTTTCACATTACCGATCATTGAGCCTGATTATTTCAACACCAAATAATCGGCTAATTATAATGAACGAAGGGTTTAATATACCAAAGAACAAAATTAAAGATTAAAAAATTATTTTGTTCAAAAAATGTCCTTCGGTGGTACCATGGATAATAAAATAAATGGTAGGAAACTAGCTGACGTGACCTAATGTTTTCAATGTTTCTAAACATTTTAGTCAAAGAGCAAATGAATATAACTACGCCATTCTACGATGAAATCTCTAAGTATTCCCAGTCAATTTTAGCAAATATTTCAAGCACTAAACAGTGAAAAAGGCATCCCAAATTTCGTTAAAATTGGGGACGCCAATTTCGTAGCTACAAATGTAAAAAAATACAAAACAAATACGAAAAACATTTACCTTGAATACTTTGTCGTGGCTTATAGGCATGTTTTTAAAACAATTAGACCGATTTATGCTTCAATATTGCTCTTTTAAGGCGGAAAATATAGCGAAACAACAAAAATGCAGAGAACTTTGCAATACGCGTGACGTCACAGATTGCAACTAGGTTGTTTTTGCTTACGTCAGCGAGAGTCCTATCCATTTATTTTATTATCCATGGTGGTACCATATTGATAAGCAACTAAGATTTGAAACTGCTTCATAGCCTAATATATGCAGTTCGCAAATTCAAACCACTTAAACGAAGGCCGACTATTAAAAAAGTTCGTAATTTTAAACACTTTTCTGAAACTGAATTTATATCCGACCTAACCAATATTCCTTGGCAAACTGTTTTCACAACAAGTGATCCAAACTTGAGTTGGAATAAGTGGAAGGAACTTTTTATCGGAACACTAGATAAACATGCTCCTGTTAGACATATAAGATCAGGGAAACACACCACTCCGTGGATGACAGCGGAAATAAGGTCAGCTATGAGAAGAAGAGACTACCATAAGAAAAAGGCCATAAAATTGAAATCTGATTCACATTGGCATAATTATAAGAGTCTGCGTAATAAAGTTAATGAACTAATCCGTGTGACAAAATCTACTTTCTATATCAACAAAATATCTGAATGTGCAGAAACTAAGGATTTAAAAAAATGCTGGTCTACAATAAATTCCCTGCTAGGGAAACAAAATAAATCCAATTATATTAGTGAGCTCAAAGTTGGTGAAAATGTCATCACAGACCCTAATCTCATTGCGGAGCATTTTAATACACACTTCATCAACATTGGAGTGTACCCTGATAAAAATGATACGCCAAACGAATGTGGAGAAAATCTTTATTTCTCTGACACAAACATCCATTCCCAAACTAATAATAAATTTAATTTTTCTCTCATTAAGGTTGATAGTGTCCTCTGTAATTTGAAACACCTTAAAGCAAATAAATCCACTGGCCTAGATGCCATCCCAGCGAAAATACTAAAACTAGCTGCCCATATTATTGCCCCTTCCTTAACGTATATTTTTAATTTATCTCTTCAAAGCGGTATTTATGTTAACGATTGGAAACGAGCTCGAGTAATTCCTATCTTCAAATCTGAAGATAAAAGTAAATGTGAAAATTATAGACCCATTTCTATTTTGTCAATTGTAAGTAAAGTCTTTGAAAAAGAAGTGTTTAGGCAAGTGTATACGTACGTGAATGAAAGTAATCTTCTCTCAAAGTATCAATCTGGCTTTCGGCCACAACACTCAACCTTATCAGCCCTCATTAAAATATGTGACGAAATCTTAAATAACATGGACGAGGGGAAAATAAACTGTATAGTATTTTTAGACATACGGAAAGCTTTTGATTCAATAAATCACAATATTTTATTAAGTAAAATAAGATCCAACTTTGGCATTAGCGGTAATGAATTACTCTGGTTTGAATCATACCTAACGAATAGGGAACAACAATGCGTAGCTAATGGGATACTATCCTCCGTTGGAAAATTAAAATGTGGGGTCCCCCAGGGGTCGATCCTGGGGCCGTTGTTATTTTTGCTCTACATCAATGACCTACCACAATGTCTCCAAAAAACCACGCCGGGTCTTTATGCTGATGACACGGAAATTTACGCGTCATCACACAATGTAAATGATCTTATTGACAACATAAATTATGACCTAAATATTGTTACGCAATGGATGGAGAATAATAAGCTACAAATTCATCCTAAGAAATCTAAATGTATGTTTATTGCATCCCCTTATAAAATTAAGAATATACCTCAAGGAATACCAATATTAATTAATAATGTTCCTGTCCCAAGATTAAATTGCTACAAATGCCTCGGTGTCACTTTAGACGAAAAATTGAACTGGGAACATCATATTGATATGATTATTAAGAAAGTCAATGCAGGCATTGCAGTAATTAAACGTATGAAAACCTGTGTTCCTCAGGAATTCTTACAAACAGTTTACAACGCCTTAATACAACCCTATTTTGACTACTGCTGTCAATTGTGGGATACCTGTGGAATCGTCCTAAAGGAAAAACTACAAAAATGCCAATCCCGAGCTGCTAGAGTAATAACAGGAGCATCTTATGATATTAGGTCGGCCGATGTTCTTGCAACTTTGGGGTGGCAAACTCTCGACAATAGGCGAAAATACTTGAAATCCATTTTTATTTACAAAATCTTAAATAATGAAACTGCTCCAAACCTGAAAGAAAATTTTTTGAAAATAAGTGATTGTCCAATTACACACCAATTAAGAAATTCTCAAACAGATCTGGTACTTCCATTCCCAAAATCACAATTTAAGAAAAAGACCTTCAGTTATAGTGGAGCAACTCTTTGGAATAACTTATCAATTACTGCTAAACAATCCAATTCTTTGAGTTGTTTCAAAAGATTAATGAAACTACATTTTTGAAAACCATAAGTATGTAAATAGTTTTGTATGTTTGTTATTTATTTATGTTTGTTAATTTGTCAAAATAATCATGTAAATAGTTTGTATTATGTATATGTATTAGTCTTATTCTTACACGTCCCCTATGGAAACCATCAAAAGATGTTAGGGCTAACGTGTTTAAATAAATTTTTATGTATATATGTATGTATGCAACGAGCCATTATTGCTGGCTTGCTGCATGCAAGCATGTATCGTCGTTTGATATAAACGAATGCGTTTCATTCATGGATTATTACTCATATACAATTTGTCTTTGTTTATAGTGTTAACCACATTGTGTTTTTTTTTGTCGTGGTATTTCTGCAAGCCGTGCACGGAAAGTGTTTGTATTGAAAACCAGGGGGTTGATCAACCTCAGGAAACGCGTCTTTAAACATGCTTGGGGCATTTTCATAGAAATAGTAGTCGATATCTATGGGCATTTATTACAATATTAACGATGATTTCTACTTTAGCAGCAAAGAGAAACTGTAGTTTTTATCAAGATGACTTTTACTAACCATCAATAATTGAATATGTACAATTATCAAGCAATTCACCAGTATCCAACAATGATAAAATAACTAGAGCTATAGAATCGTGCAAAGCAAGTGTTTTGATTATTGTTTCTATTGTCGCTTTCTATTCATTATTTCCACTGTTTCTGTCTTTTCTGACAGAAGGACAAACATTTGAGGTGGAGCTGCCAGATAAACATAAAAGCAAGAAACGCATGCACAAACATGATCAGACCGATAGTAATAACTTACTGAACGAGAGTGAGGGCAGTACGGTAAAATATCCAACCGAGGTCTTGCTGTATTGACCGAGCGATAGCGAGGTCAGTACACCAAGACCGAGGTTGGATATTTTACCGTATACTGCCCGAACGGATGAGGTCAGTAAGTTTTTTATTGTATGGCATTGTACGTTTGTAAAAAAATGGAAGAAAAGGTCACGCGAGGGCAAAGTACAATGTCCGAAACAGTTTGCAAAAAAAAACAATTGTAAAAAATGTTCTTTGGTTAGTAAAACTGCTCTACAGTACTTTTTATAGAATACTAACACAGTTTGGATAGTATTTCAAGAAAAATACGAGCTATTTCGTCATTTAATCATGCAAAGACAACAAATATGAAAGCAGTAAAATTCAATAAAATTACAAAAACAAGTACGTTTTTAGTTCGCTTCATCTCATATTTATGTCTCTTTTTATCTAACAAAAACCGAAATTTTCAGGGAAAAATTATAAATCTGTGGCTGTTTTAGTTGTATTTTTTATTTAGCATGATGTCAAATTCCTCCTGGCTATCTGCAAATAAAATTTGCAGCTCTTCGCATTGTCAAAACACAACTATTCCTGATTGCTTTTATAGTTATAAACATTGTAAAATTTACCTTGTAAGTTTTGACTTTCGCTAACAAAAACGTATGGAGAAAGTTCTTTAACCACAGCAGTTGCTCCTCTTTTATTTTAGGTCTATTTTTCTTCGTTTTGAATAGTTTTGAAAGACTTTTAGGGCCTGTTCATATGGGCAAAAGTTATCCCGGTTAACGAGAGAACTTTTCGACTATAGCCAAATACTTTTGTTCTGTTCATATGGAGAAATATTATCCCACTTACCGGGAAAAGTTTCCGGCTGTGACGTAGCACTGAACATCAATTGAATTGAAAAGTTGCTGACACGACAAAAAGTTATCCCGCTAAGCGGGAAAGTTGTGTTCATATATGGGGAAAACATCCCGGTCACCGAGATCTCGCCTGTCAACAAGCGAGATCTCGGTACACGGGAAAACTTTTCGTGCCCCCGCTCTCCGGGCCCAACATACAATATCTAAAAAGAATATCAATCTAAAGGAAATAGACCTATTTGATAAATACTATACCTTATTCGTACTTAATTTCGCACATCTATGAATCTGGATTCTTTTCAGTTCGATTTGGTTTTGCTCATTGTTCGAGGCCCCTAAAAGGCCCTAAAAACTGGGCCTTTCCCTTTTTACTTAAAATTTAAGTCATATCAGAATCTATGGTCTATACTGAATGCTTAAAAAATGGAACATCTAAACGGTTTACAATAACTTTCAAGAAAATAAAACAGTGACCTAATAAGACTAATAACACAAGAGATTGTCAGTTCGTTCGTAAAATTATCAGTTCGCTTTCATTGCTCAGTCCTTTCTCGTTTTCAAGACGGCGGCTATGTCTAATCCCCGATATAAGCCCCCCCCCCATAGTCCCCGGTACCTGATACACATATCTAATACAGTCTAAATCCCCGTGTACCGTGGCCGAATATAAGGTTCAATCGCTCAATAATTCCCCGCTATTCCCCGGCATTCCCCGGGTAGGGGGGTAGGGGCATTCCACTGACTGGTGCATTATACTCGATAGCATAGTCGATATGTCGATATGTCGATATTTCTTCATTTCTTCAAAGTAACTCATGGCATTACCAGCTCGTCCTTCGCCTTGCACGCCAAGACAACAAGATATACAAGATCGTCCACTAACACGAAAGGTGTAAAGTACGAAGTCCCGCGGTGCAAAACAACAACCTACCAAAGATCATACTGGATAAGAACCATCAGAACATGGAACACATTGACGGTCATACTTGACTTGAGTATGGAGAACTTCAACGCATTCAAGTCTGTAATGCGAGAGTACTACCATACTGCATTAACGAACACATACGATTGTGATGATGTACGAACTTTTAAAACGATTTGCCCGAAATGCAATAGAGCAAGGACTTTAACAAACTCGATGAACTGTTGTTTTTAGTCTCTATGGTTTAATTGTTATTTGTGTTATTGATATTTGTTTCTTAACGTTTTGGGCCCGCAGTAATTGGTTTCAGGCTGTTGCGGATACCCAACCATCAACTCAGTTTATGTCATTGTGTTATGTATGTATATGTGTGTATGTATGTGTGTGTATGTTTCTGTACAGTAGTGATGGAAAAGCAATTAAAAAAATTAAATTAAATATGTAAAATGGTACATTATATGGATCAAACTGGAACAAAACAACAACTGAAGTTCTAATTTTGGGAAATTTAGTAGCAAATATAATCCCTAAACAGCTCATCGATTTGTATGTTAGCGCTATTAAAAGTAGACAATATTGAACAGTGATCTGAAGTTATTGTGCAACTGACAACAATATTATATCTCAAAATACCTGTATATGATGATATTTTACAAATATATCAGGATTTTTGGACCAATTTTAAACTTAGCAAGGCAAAAAGTCTCCATTCAAGAATATATCTTCTTCTCAAAAGGTAAAATACTTAGAATACTTGATTAAATTGTTTACTTCGACGGTATGTAAATTAACAGCGTTTGACTTGCAAGACGTCAAAAACGGACGATTTCAGCGCGCTGTCGTTTATCGCGTATTCATTTGCCCATAGAAGTATTTACGTCAATTGAAAGCTTGTTTATTAAAGAGCCAACTAGTAGAAGCATGATCGATTTGGAGCTTTATCCCATAGTGAAAATCGGTTTTGTTAAGAGGGTATCGTAAATGAAGTAAGATAGTGAAGATAGTGTGCTCCAAAACTACGATTATTTCTATTCCTAAAAGTAACTCAGATTTCTTGTAAGTCACGTACCCGGTCCTTTGAATAACCGAAAACAAGATTTCTAGGGTTTTAGATCGATAATAAACGGTTGTCGTCGTGAAATTTGTCGGTAAAATCAGCGCATATTTTCCCGGACAAAATGGCGATTTAGGGTGGTCGTGTTAAAACGGCATTTTCTCAAAGTTAAAAAATAGGTACGCGACCGCGTACATGTATCTGCGCATAAAGGTCCAGACACGCCGGACGCGATTCGACAACGCGACGCGATTTTTCGATTTTCACTGACCGTTAAATTTAATCCAAGTTTAAATTTTCCAAATATTTAGAAGCGCTATAACATTCTAAGTTACTTGGTCTACATATGTTTCTAACTGATTTGCTCTCATTGGCTGTTTTTCAAACTAACTGAAAAATCGCGTCGCGTTGTCGAAGCGCGTCCGGTGTGTCTGAATCTTAAGCCCGTTCTCCACTAGGCGAATTTGTTCGCGCGACGCGAAGCGAAAACCGAAATCCGGCAACGTGATTGGTCGGCGAAAAAATTCGCGGCGAAAAAGTAGGATCGCTTCCTACTTTTTATCTGTTCGCGCGAAAAAATTCGCTTAGTGGAAAACGGCCTTTAAGGTCTGATTACACGACGGCGAAATTCGTCGCGAGAACTTGTGTCTGCGAAATACGGTGGTTGCACATGAGCGATTGTATTGAATTGTCCCACTTTGTCCGCTTTCGCAGTAAGTAGAAATGTTTCGCATTTCGCCGAGAAAAAAACGCTCGTGGAATCAGGCCTTTACTCATTGATGGTGCATTCTCGAAATTACATTTTTACAGCAATTGTGCGAAATTGTGCTAGTTGAAATTATATGCCTGCTTCAGATATAATATTTACATTTAACTAGTGACTTCTAAATTAAGAGGACGAGAACCATTTATATCCCGAATCACGGCAACTGATAACAATCATACAAAAATGTTTCTTTTTATCTGGAGCTAAATATCGATCGTGACTAAAACACCACACGAGTACATACGAGTAACATACGAGTAACACACAAGTACACACGAGTAACATACGAGTACGTACGAGTACATACGAGTACACACGAGTAACATATGAGTACCTACGAGTACATACGAGTAAAATACGAGTACATACGAGTAAAATACGAGAATTAGCACGCTTTCTTTAAAGTTTCTTTCACTTTCACACTTTCACTTTGGCTTCGTATTATGTAAATGCCTTATTGACGTAGGCGTACGAGACAGGGGGGGGGGGCTTGGAAAACCATGGAAATTCGGGCAAACGCTAGGAAAAATCAAGAAAATTCGGGCAGATTTATGAGAAAATATGTTAAAATCAGGTTATTTCTTTACAATTCTCCATAAAAATTCGGGCAAACTTTCAACTGCACCGTATTGAAATAACTTCTATTTGAAATAAAAGAAGGAAAAAACGCACAAAGAATCTTTAATCTTTAATAAAATTATTTAAACACGGTAGCCTGTTCAGCAGATAATATTTACAGCGCTGGTTTTCAAAGGGCCGTGTGTTTACAACAATAATATAAAAAGGACAAAAAGAATATAACTATTTACAATGAATTGATACGGATGAATTAAGCCACTTGGTGTCATTTTACTTGCGTAATCATAATATCATATATTACTGAACGCCATAAGGCGACTGTCTCGAAGCGATGTCGACCAGAGAAAGGCTTTTACAAAATTGTACATCCCAAACATGAATAAGAACGCTGTTGAACTATGTATATTGTACATAATAAAGTCGTTGTTCATATAAAGTATAAATATCCAAGCCTTAATGGTATAAATAAAGTAAAATAGTTGAATGCTTCTCGACGTTTAGAGCAAAGTTAAAGGCCCTTATATTGTAGCAATGCTTGCAAACACTTGCCGATTTATACAGACTTCAAAGAAAGGATTGCTATACGATTGCTCATGTGAATCATATCCTTGTTCCTTCTCATTTTTTCTTCGTACGCTGCATCAACCGGCAGCCAAAATTTGATAAACGCTGAAGCCGAGATCATTGTCTAACCTTTTCAATCGCAAAGTGACGGGGTCTAAATTGCGTCAAAATTTAACATTTGTCCACCAAAACGACCGCAAGGGCCCAGGCTTTGTGAATCTGCGTGTACATTTTAACATTACGCATGGCAAAACAGGGTTACGACGCTTTACACGCGGGTCGCAGGCACATTCACAGTATTTTTTATACTAAACAATGAAGTATTACGCAACTTTGACGCAAAAGTGACAGGACTTTTTTTAACATCCAAAAGAAAGATTTACGACAAGAAATAGCGCTATAACACAAGGAGTCCCAAGCCGAGTGTACAAATTAAGAATGTTTTATATAAACCGAGAAATGAGGTATTTTAGGGAAAAAAGCCATGTTTTCATTGCGCGATTGTATGACGCGATGTCAGCGTGACCTGACATCTGATACTTCTGACCCTCTGCTTCTGACCTAATGGCAATTGCCGTTTAAACGACAAAATTGAAAGATTGTTATAATTTTCAATAGTTTCACTTGGAAGTTCGTTCCAGGACTTAGCAGCTCTATACGAGAAACTTCGTTTGAGAAAATTTGTCTTAGGTTTGGGTAGGTTCAATTTAATTTGATTGCTTCTTAGATTGTAATTGTCATTTTGACTTACTTAAAACAATTTTTCAAGGTATCGAGGTAATCGACCAGTTAGTACTTTAAATGTCATTATTAACTGTCGTTGTTTTAGAAGTTCTTCTATTGGAAGCCAATTAAGACTATCTAGCGTTTGCATGGAACGAACCTCGTATGTGTCCCCTGTTATCACACGCGCTGCTTTCTTCTGCAGTATAAACAATTTATCAATTATCGAACAACATCCATCATTCCAGATTGTTGAACAATAATTGAAATGAGGCCACACTAAGGCATTGTAGATTTTTATCAGACTATCTCCATTGACAAACAATTTTGCTCTTTT